GACAAGAGGATATCTGCACGTGAGTTCTATTCTTATCGATTGCAAGCACAACCAATGAGCGACACAGATAACCGTTGCTACTTTTGGATGTTTGGTCGTCTCAGCCATCAATATTGCGTCGACCAAGAGTGCAAAATTATGAGCGATCGACTTCGATATATAGAAATGCATCAAGTAAAGCTTCGTGCAGATCTTTATAAGGGCATCGTTGATGCAGTCCACGATAATAATGTATCATCAGCGTCTAACATTGGCAAAAGTATCATCCTACCTTCTTCCATTACTGGAGGACCTCGTGATATGCAACAGCGATTCCAAGACTCAATGGCTATGACTCAACATGTAGGTAGGCCGGATCTATTTATTACCTTCACTTGCAATCCACAATGGCCAGAGATTCAACATGAAATTGCAAGACAGGGGTATGCTGGACAGACCCCAAATGATCGTCCCGATCTGTTGGATAGGATATTCAAGGTCAAGCTCGAGGCTCTTATGCATGACCTTACTGAAAAATATGTCCTTGGAAAAGTTATCGGATACTGTCTTGCAACCGAATTCCAAAAGCGAGGACTACCACACGCTCATATCCTACTGACCCTAGACGAAGAAGATAAGCCACGTACAGCTCAGGATATTGACAACATCGTTTGCGCTGAGATCCCTGACCCGCTTAGACACCCTAATTTGTACAAAACTATGATGACGACAATGATCCATGGCCCTTGCGGTCCTGGAATCAAATCTCCCTGTATGGAGTCCAATGTCTGCACCAAGAAATACCCACGGCAACTCTTAGCGGAGTCAGTTCTAAGAGAAGATGGCTATCCGTTCTATAGGCGACGTGATACCGGGGCACATATGGTCCGCCGCAATAATATCGACTTCGCTGTCGATAATCATTGGGTTGTGCCATACAATCCTTATTTATTAACGAAGTACAACGCTCATATAAATGTCGAGATTTGTTCTTCAATCACATCAGTAAAGTATTTGTACAAGTATGTGCACAAGGGACAAGATCGTGCAAGGGTGACTGTAGTTGGAGGAAATGATCAAGAGCAGCAGCAGCAGCAGCAGCAGCAGTTACAGTCTCACGATGAGATCAAGGAATACTGGGATGCACGCTATATCTCTGCTTGTGAATCAATATGGAGGATCTTTGCGTTCAAGATGTTTGATCTGTCACACACAATCATACGTCTTCAAGTCCACCTCGAGGGCCATCAAAATGTTATTTTTAGTGAAGACGACAACCTCGCCGCACTGCTTGACGAGCGAAATACCAATAGTCAGCTCATGGGATGGTTTGCTCTGAATAGGAGAGATCCTGATGCAAATGAGTATACATACCCTCAGATACCCTTGCATTACAGATGGGAAGCTAAAAAAGGTCAGGCACCAATATGGATACCAAGAATACATGACAGGCAGGACAAGACGGTAACCCGAATGTATGTTGTTCATCCTAAAGACCGTGAGCTTTTCTCTCTCAGAATCTTGCTTTTGCACAAAAAGGGAGCAAAAAGCTTTGAGTGTCTCCGCAAAGTGGATGATAGGCTCTTTGGCACCTTTAGGGAAGCTGCTGTAGCGCTTGGTTATATGCAAGACGACAGCGAATGGCGAGACTGCCTTCGAGAAGCATGCCAGTTTCAATTCCCTAAAAGACTGCGTCATCTTTTCTCAATGCTCCTTTACCATTGCAACATTTCTCAACCTCGTGGTCTATGGGATGAATTTGCTTCGGCCCTTTCTGAGGACAAGCTTCATACTCTACGTCAGTCTATTAGGGATGATGATGATAATAATGATGGTGATATCCACAGGTACGACGACTTCCTCCGCCAGAGAGCTGAGAAACAAGCCCTCTATGAGATCGACAATATATTAAAAGGGATGGATTCCAGTCTAGCTGACTTTCCAGAGATGCCACAAGAGATTGAGGATTTGCACCTACAAAACAGCAATGATCTAGAAGAGACTTTTGACCAACTTGCAACCCGAGCCCAGACCAATATTATTAAGTTTAATCAGGATCAGCTGGCTGCTTTTCTTGAGATTAAAAGAGCTGTCGGAAAAGGCAAGGATACAAAGCGATTGTTTTTCATCGATGGACCCGGAGGAACAGGAAAGACCTTTCTCTTTAATACAGCAATTGATTATATCCGTGGCATCTTAAGAAAGCAAGTCATTGTGGTAGCTTCCTCAGCAATAGCTGCATTAATCTTAAATTCGGGAAGCACTGCCCACTCTGCTTTCAAGGTCCCTATCCCTATCTACCCGAACTCGACCTGCAACATCAAGCACGGGCAAGTTATCGCAAAAAGGATCATAGAAACAGATGTGATTTTTTGGGACGAAGCTGCTATGCAGCATCGCCATGTTTGTGAGGCTGTTGATAAGACTATAAGAGATCTCACAAAGGTTGATGCGCCATTTGGCGGAAAAATTGTGGTCTTTGGAGGGGATTTCCGTCAAGTGCTTCCTGTTGTAAGAAATGGGTCAAGAGGAGATATTGTGCACGCTTGCTTGAAGAAATCAACATTCTGGAGAGATGTGAAAACGCTAAGACTCACCATAAACATGAGAATTTTACAATGCTCCTCAAATCCAGAGGCTCAAGGCTTCATTGATTACTTGCTTCGAGTAGGAAATGGAACAGAGTCTACAAGGCAGATTGGGCCAGAGAACGACTACATCAAGCTGCCTGAACAGTGTATTCTTAGCTCTACGCAGCCTGACCCTAATAACTCTGATGAAAAGCACCTCATTGCGGAGATATACCCATACTTGCAGGCTCATCCTAATCCCTCACTAAGTTACTGGGAAGGGCGCGCTATTCTATCTACACTTAATGAGGATGTCAACAAGCTCAACAATTTGGCAACAGAGATATTTTCAAGTCATACCGTTCCAAAGGTCTATCATGGGCAAGATTCCATCCCTGATATTGACGACCCAGTAGCAGCAACATACACTGTGGAATTTCTTAATTCTTTAAATCCTCCCGGAATGCCTCCCAGTATACTGCAATTAAAGATCGGTCAGCCCATCATTCTCATAAGGAACCTGAGCCCAAAGGAAGGTCTCTGTAACGGTACGCGTCTCATTGTGCATAAACTTGGAAACAAAGTCATCGAAGCTGAAATAATGACGGGAATATTCAAAGGAGCGATCCATTACATCCCTCGAATCAATATCAATGCAACTGATGATGGATCGTCTCCAGTCATATTCCAGCGGCGCCAATTCCCTTTGAAACCTGCCTTCGCCATGACCATCAATAAGGCTCAAGGGCAAACTCTTCAGAATGTTGGCATATACCTCCCACGGTCTGTTTTTAGTCATGGCCAGCTCTATGTGGCTCTTTCTCGCTGTACAGACCCCAAGCATTTGAAGGTACTTATCAAAGGTGATTCAAGGGATCTTTGTAAATACACGCGAAATATTGTGTACCAAGAAGTCCTTCAAGATTGAAAAAAAAAAAAAAAAAAAAGTCGCTGACATCTTCAGTCCCTGCCGCCCCTCTGTCTCTGGTCCCTACTATCCCTGTCTCTGTTGTTCCTACTGTGCCTATGCCTTGCTGTTCCCACGATATCTATATCTCCAGCTCTTACTACCCTTGCTCTATCTGTATCCATCATCACGACTCGGCCGAAATGTTATTTATTGTATATAGCTGTAAGACCAGTGTAAATTAGTGTACATGTTGTATGATCAGTGTAAATTAGCGTATCTGTATTTTAGTATATCTTTGTAATAGTAGAAGTGTATTTGTACATCTCTGTAGAGTAAACGTCATCTGTGATACCAGTTTTTGTAATTGAAAATTTAGATTCTTCCATCTTTTCCTCTTTTTTTTTTTTTCTTTTCAAAAATTCACACACACACACAAAAAAAAAGTTCACACACACTCCTCATTCGCTCTCACACACGTACATTCATACATTATGTCTTCCACCTCCACCATTACCAAGACTTCCAAGCCTGCCAAGACTGCCAAAAGTTCTCAAGGTCGTCAGACGATCTCTGTAAAAGTACCTGTGTTGACCCCAAATACCAGTGAAGTAAGTTTCTATTTAACTTTGAGTCTTGGGTATCAACAGAGAATCAGAGTTATAATTGACTAACACTAAGGAGAATTTGGTATCGTTCTTTTAGACAATACTTTCGCCCTCATCCTCCTCAATCGACCAATTCCCTCCTGCTTCCCAGGTAAAGGCAGCCTCTATCATAGTCATATGGTTGTACGTGAAGACTAGACAAAGTAATAATTTTTTTTTTTTTTTTTTTTTTTTCAATCAGTCATGTGATGATGATAGCCTTGATACAATTCCCCAATCTCAAAAGCGTTCGCTTAATTGGGACGACGACGACCAGGAACAACACGACGATCAAAACAAGCGGCGCCGCCAGACCCCCCCCAGAAACCTATCTCCCACGCACTCTTCTTCCCCTCACCAGAGTCCTCTACAGCCATCTTCCCCTTGCCAGAGCTTCCTAAAGCCATCTTCCCCACGCCAAAAATCCCCACATCCTCCTCGCTCTCGCTCTCGCTCTCCCCTTCACTCTCGACCGCTCTCTCCTACACGCCCCGTCCATCAATCAGATCGGGAAGATCAACTCTCTGTTCATTCGCTTTCACTTGAAGAAACAGTAAGCACGCCGAGAGGCACCGATGCTACCGCCCCGTGGGCTGCCCAAAACCTTCGTTTCCATGCCGGTTTATATGATCTATTGAAAAAGCGAGCCGACGCAGAAACTCTTTTGTTTGAAGAACAACAAAATGTCAATAAAAAAAAAAGACTTTAATATTTAATACCTAATAAATAAAAAAGAAACCTTTGTGTCAAAAACGTTCAATTTTATTGGAACCCCAACGAGGGTAAATAAGCCTCACGAGGCAAAGCCTAGACTGGAGCGACCGTGAGCGAAGCCACGGGTCGCCCGTCTAGTTATACATCTAATACAATACTTAATACTATCTGTCTGTGTTCATACGAGAGCATTTGGTCATGTAAAAAAAAAAAAGCTGCGACTCGTAAATGCTGACGATCACTTCTTATTTTCTACTTTGTATCGACTTAATGCTTTGCTCAGATCATCCAACTACGACAGATTAATTCAAGTTTTATCTCTTGCTAAAAAAATAAAATAAAATAAATAAAAAAGGGCTAGTCAGCCATGGCTAAGCATAACTCGATTCCTTTTTCTACAACCTGCCATCTGCAAAGGGCTGGTTCGATCCATAAACTTGCAATGCCTGCAATCATGACTCCCAGGCCATCGGCTACCCCCACAGCACCCATTGCAAACTCCTTTCCTTTAGGATCATGTTCTAGGTCTCTTGAGATACCAATATATGTATGAACATAAGTAGCTCCCCCAAGTAGTCCCTCCCAAAGAATCAAGATGAATATTAGATAAATGCTTGGGATAGGGAAGGGGTGTCCTTGAGAAGTTAGAATGGCTTGAGAGGTTGCAAGGAGAAGAGTGAGGACTTGAAGAAAAGACGGAATCCAGAGATGTGAGATTTGAATGAGTGAGGCTGATGATCTACTGATAAATACGCCTGTCTATTAAAAAAATAAAAAAACGTGTAAAAAGCTAAGTTTTTTAAATCGAGCTATTCCAATCACTCCACAAGCTTCTTCCCGGGGGTTTTTTTTCTGGTCATCATTCATACCTGGTATATTGCAGAGTAGGTAACATAATGCTGTACAATAGAAGAAAAAGAAATGCCATGAAATGAAATAAGAAAGCATTTAGTTAGCCTTTTTTTTTATACTTTAGTATCATATACCAAAAGCATGAAATCCAAAGCATTTGAAAGAGATTGTATCTTACATCACGAAGATGGGCGAAGGGGGTATTTTCCAGGGGGAATAAAATAACGGGCAGAACTCCTTGATTCATAGTGTACTCGCTAAAAACGAAAAAAAAAAAAAAAAAAAAAAAAAGTTTAAGTACTTCTTCTTTCCTTCTGCATCTGATCTGACTGTGTGCCAGAACAACTTACGCTATGTAAACCATAAAGAGCGGGATCATGTATGGCACCAGGAGCGACCTAAGCATTGTGAATTTTTCTTCCAGCGTCATTGCTTCGTTAGGTTGAACCTTGTACACTGTCCTCCTTACAGATGATTCTCTGTCTCGTACTTCCGATTCCCGGAAAGGTGGTACAAACTCTGGATCGTCCGGATCCGTTGCTGCAAGCAATGTATTGATGGAGGTGGGCTCTGTCTGATGGCGTTGGGACGATGAAGTACCCCAGTGAGTGTCCCATGGTGCTATTGGAAGCATTGCTGGTGGTGTCACTGCTGTTGATGTGCCAAGAATGGGAGCATAGGGGTCACTAGAAAGCAATGCAGAGGCCACATTCGATACTGGGGCTGTATCCTGTGTAGAAGTTGAGAGGACAGAGGCAGGGGTCTGTAAAAGTGTGTTGCTATCGGTACTACCGCCACGGCGGTGACCATGATTACTGTTTCCATTGAAGTATTGGGATGGAGATGCGCCATTCAACTCTTCTGCTACTGCTGTTGCTGTTGCTGTTGCTGCTACTGATGTTTGATGTGGTTGAAGCGACTCTTGTGATGTCAATAGCTCTTCTTCAATATCATGGCCATCGTCAAGGATCTGATAAGAGGAAGACAATGGCCTGTTGGCGGCTGTGATTCCACGTAGTGAGCTTCGTGATGTAGGATTGGTGAGAATGAAAAAATAAGCAACCAGCATCAGAATCGGAAAGAGCTTCATATAAGGAAGAAAAAAAAAAAAAAAAAGTAGATAATTAGTTAATGAACAGTGTATAGATCATATTAGCAGTGTATAGATCATAATAAATGATACTCAAGGAAGAAGAGGGCAAAATTTTACCGCAATGATGCCAAGAGTACGACGAATTGATAGACCTATCCATGATGTTAAGAGTAAAAACAAAAAAGCACCAAGTAATCCCGCACCTCCAGTGCCACTAGACCAAGCCGAGACCATTTGCAGTCGGTAAAAGGAAGTCAGCATTAGAAATGTCAGTTCACCCAGCCCGGAGCTAAGGGAAGCCATCGTAACCCCCAACATTCTTCCGCTGATGGTGTCCGATAGTGCAATGATCTAGAAAGATGGCATATTCCATGTTTTTGAAAGTGGAGGACACTATGGGCATGAGTATACCACACCATGAATCTTTGAATAGTAAGTAAATCCATGTTGCAATTATATTTACCACTACAGCCAAAAAAGAAAGCGAAGCACAGAACACAACCCGTAGCGGGTACGAGACTTTGTGAATAAAGTAAGGGGCCACCATCTTGACGAGTAAAGAGGGTATAATATCGGCCAACAAAACAACTCCCTGGGTAACAATAATAGAATGGCAGTAAGCAATCAAAGAGGAAAAGGCTCGTCAATAAAAAACATTTCTGGGTGATTCAGCACAGTGAACATTCGTAAAACCCTTGAGGTTTTTAAAAATCATGCAGACCACTCGTTTTTCGAGATTGAAAATGTCCCAAGATGTTTTTCAAACATTACCTTAGGGACTTCAGCCCCTACAAGATCAACAGCAGCAGACAGGATCACAACATAGATGAGGTTGTTTATGCTAAAGTTCAATTACATATATAAAGATGAAGGGCATAGTGACAAATATAGGAAAGGGTTATCAAGTGTTGGTTGAGGTTGTAATGAGTTCAACTTCCTAATTAAACACATATCCTGAATGTCTTACCATCCTACAAGGCATTCAATAGAGAGGATAAATTGTCATGATGTTAATTGGTTATAAACAGTGTAAAAAAAGAAAAAAAAAAGAAAGAAAATATGGCCAAGAAAGAAAATACCGAATATGAAGAAAGCGACCCAGTCGCGTTCAATGGCAGGAAAGGAAAAACATATTTCATTTAATCTACGAAGACGAGGACCTGATTATATTTGTATTAAAAGTAAAAAATGCTTTTCGAGTTGTTTAGTAGGCTCATCGCTATGATCTAAGGTGATCTGAAGGGCAGTTGCAAACACTTGAAGACTTGCCATTGGAATTTGATTGCCAAGTACTGTTTTGACGAGAATGTGAATCAGCTTCAGGTAATAATGACTTGAACCATTTCAACACTTTGAACATTATGTTTTCGAAATAAGGAATATCAGGGACGAAGAAAGGGATTCTAATTAGGAAATGTAAAGGTTGCAATGCATGTGCATTTGTCCATGTAAATGTGCAAGAAAGAGAGAAGAGGGATGTACACACAGTTCTTTTTGGACAAAATTTTAATTGTCCCATATCCCTCATTCATTCAATAAAGCATTCCCTTTCTTCTTTTTTGTTCAGTTGGATGAAAAGGATCTTCACTTTTGCATGTGCACGTGCCACCAACAGACCTTTGTCCGATCGAACTTGACTTTGCACTCCACAGCTCTAATTCTCTACACATGGAGAAACAGAGATTAAGTTGAGTAAATATAATATGGAGTGTATCGATTTAAATAATTGAAATGGTATAATGAACATGCCTGACACTAACTGGCTGAGCAATTTACACTGCCTAAAATAAAGGAGGTCGACAGGGGTAGATTTGTAAGACGCGACGCATCCACGATGTCATGGTGTCATGGTCATGAGTGATCACACCCCTTTTCCCTCCTTTTTATTGTACCTGTTTACCCAATAAACATGGCATGGGTAGACATGTATCATGTAATGTGGGGGGATGCACTTCCAAGTTCAGCTTGTCAAGTATTGTCTGCGCTTGCACCCAAAATACCAATGTCAATCGTTGTTAACCTCCCTCCTCCCCCCCCTTTTTTTTTTCTTTTTCTTTTTCTTTCGTTTGGTTAACGATATTCACTTTCTTCTTTTCTGTCTCTCCATATTCCTCTTTTTTTTTTCTCTCTCTCCTGGGCACATCATCTCTTCATTTTCTCTTAGCTTTGAGCATCCTTTTCAAATAGACAATACACCTTCTTCCCTGGCCCCTTGCATCCACATGAATTACACATACCTGACACTCTGTCTTTCTTTATGACCTCATTACTTATCCTAATACCCAAAAAGCTTCAGCTGTAGTGTACCATTCAGTAATCTGTATTAATAACATCCTATTTCATTACTTCATCACTTCATTATTTTATTATAATTATGTTCATTTCCTCTATTCTTTCAAAGCAATATCTGCTTCAAGTTTTTGTGTTTACATTTCTCACCATAAAACTTATACCAAGTGTAGTAAATGCAGGTATGAACAAGTATAAAACCTCTTAGTTTGACATATAAAAAAAAAAAAACTAACTTCATATCATTGACAAAACTTGGGCTTCCATTACTGGCTATAGGGATTACAAGTGCTCGCCTTCAATGCCAGTATTCCTTTCTTGAGATCCCAAACCTCATTCAGGATCCATCATGCACACTCCAATCTATTAGATCAACGAATCCGGGGATCTTAGCGCCTCCTCCTCTTCCAACGTCTCCCTCTTTATCTGCAGGACCTCTGACAGCTGCGCCAGACACCTCGCACCCATGGTCATATACGCCTGGATGGACATACAACCCAATGTTTTCTTGCTGTTCCTATTCCCCAACTTTAGATACTACTCCAGACCCTGCTGTCAATGAAACAGAGTCTCAAAGCCCACCTACATTACTCACTTCAGTAGATCTGTCAGCAAGCTCAACAGAAATTGATCAGGGGCAACAGCAATTGGAGCTATCCATTAGCTTTTATACTTCGGACATTCCAAACTCCCCACTCCCAGTCTCCACAGGAGCCGATACCTTTCGGGTGCTAATCCGCTTTCTCGATGCTACTGGAGCCTACATGTCTATCGCAGGAGCGGGTTCAAGCACTGAAAGAGATACTGGATTCATAGAGTTGAGGCCAGGAGACGCTGAAAGTTTACTTTATTATGCATTCGATGCTGTTACATTGAAACCAGTGCAGGTCCCTGTAGGCACTAGGGGCGTCGTATTGCAGCTCTTAGTCCCATACACAAGATCCTTTTGTTTTGATTACTTTGCGCTACGGTTAGGTGAGATAAGAACCTGGGCTTGAACAGTACTTTTAATACTGTTATATTTGAAGGCTTTTATTACTATTTCTCTTTTTATTTTTTATTGTCATGACTAAATGAAATGTCCTTTCGATGATATAGTGCAAGGATCACACCATCCAACGACAGAAGATGTGGTTCAAAAGATATTGATTGGATTAGGATCAGTTGTACTGTTCAACGCGGCGGCTATTCCCATTATTCTGTTTTATGGCTTACCTGGATGGCTTTGGCATTCTGCGTAAGTTGACTTACTCCTTGTTGAATACCATGTGCAGATATGTTTTTGTTATCATTATATTTATTATCGCTATGAGTTTCTGACCCTACCTTTTTTTTTTTTTTTTTTTTTTTTTTTAGGCCAGTCAATTTCTTTCAAAAGAACCCAGTTGTGGATCACTACGTACCATTGGCCTTGTTTATTTCTACTTGCCAATGGATATATAACGTTCTACTTCAGTACATGGGCGGATCTTCTTCGACACTCTCTATCGTGCACTCCCCTCAGGCTCTTTGGCTCATCCCTTTACTCTTGGTCGGCACCTTCTTCGTGTCCGCTTTCGCACATTGGTCTTTGTTTCTATGCTATAACCAAGTCATGCGTAATCCAAGACAGCAGTATCACAAAAAACCCCGTCGTTGGAGAGCACCGTTTTTAGGGCTTTGGGCTTCAATGTGTTTGCTCCTTACTAGAATTGGTGTTGTATTTTTAACAGTCATTCAGGGGGGATACTGGTCAATCCCGATTGGAATCCTTCTTGCTGTTCCAGAGACAATAGCGATGACCTCTGTTATTATCTTTTTCATTAAAACCATCTGGTTACTGACCCAAGAGGGTAGTAGTTCTCCAGGAAGAAACAGGGGAATCAGCAATCGAGGAGCCGTAGGAGGTATCAGGATAGGTAGTCATAGTAAAAACAATGGAGGTTTGTCGAGATCTTCATCCATGACACCGCTTTGTGAAGAAAATTGCCCCGCGACAGTCATAGAAGATCCTATGGATGACCTGATCAACCTCTCTAGTTTCCATCACAAAGTCTATGTCAAGTCACTCTTGACGCCTGAACGCGATCTAAGGGATGCGGCTGGGAGCATGTATGGACGCTCCACCATTGGTTCTAACAAAACTGTACCACCTATAGAAAAGATATCAGCAGCAATGCAAACTGATAGGAGGGGAGCATATAGAGGCTATGAAAGTAATGGTCAATATGCAGGATCAACACTCAACACTACTTTGTCTTCATTAAGCTCAATGACAGAGTATTCACGGCATCTGACAGAATATGATTTCAATATATCCGAAGATAACACACATAGGCCATCCCCACTGCCCTCGCTAACTGGATACGCCAATGGAAGGAGCCAATTCCCATTCGGTCGCAATTTGGGCGTAAATCCCCCTATTCAGCGTGAAAGTGGCGGCGGTAGAGGCACCATTCAATATGAAGATAGTGTCGGCGAACACAGGACTCGGCTTGCCTCTCAAAGATCATCTGCTCCAGCTTCCTCTCGCAGTGGAGGGAATCAGCGCCCACCAATGTATTGCCGATCTAGTAGTAGCCGTGAAGCGCTCAACGCTCACAAACTGACTTGGAATTCAGCAACGACCTCTTACACCACTTCCTCTGCAGCACAACCTATGACTGGAGCATCCCCTACGCCATCAGCCTGGGAATATGTGGTTTATCCTCAACGACATGTCTGGCCGAGCATTGTTGGCACCTACCTTCTAATTGCTCGCCTTCCATTACGTATCTTGGTCGCGGTTTTGACGACATTTGTTTTGTGTTACGATGTGATACTGAGTATTGGCGCTGCTGAGACAGTTCTGGCGATACCAGTATCTTGCTTACTAGGAGGGATGGCGTATCCAGGCGTAAATCAATTTGACAACACAATGAATGTCGCTAGAGCAATGCACACAGTCAATCTACTCCTAGTCGTCGTATTATTGCCAATTGTGGTTTTCATCACTGTAGTACATCAAGTTCGAATGATTCAAAAGTATAATTGGTGCTTACGCTTACTCAGGGTGGGAAACTATGGATTCGTGCCAGGTGGTCGTGGTAAGTTTATTTTTTTATTTTTTATTTTTAAACACAGGTCATTAGTTGTCGTAACACTTGAAAGCCTAAATGTTTTTCCTCCGCCACTTTATGTTAATGCCCTATATCCTATAATCACATGCTTCATAGACTACAAGCAACATCTAAAACATCCAGTCAGGTTCATAGGCTACACTGTCGGGTTTGGCGTAGTTGGCCTTTGCTTTACTATCTTCCTGTTGTTTACGCTCTGCACCATCATGGCCATGTTACTCGTTGCCGCAACGTTCCGTTCATCTCTCTTCCGTACACTTGGATCACGCGCCCTGGCCGCTATTGGGATTTCTTGCTCACTTGTTTTTATCCTTTGGCTTATACAGATGCTCGTCATTCGTTATCGTTTCCGTATGCCAGGCTCTCGATTTTTCCTTGTGCCACAACAATCCGCACGGACCGGTTTCCATCACTGGGAGTTTTTTTGGGCGTTTTTCAATATCGTTTTTGGTGCGTTTTCTTTCTTTAAAAGAATTGCGCTCAGCGTCTTAAGCATGGGGATTTATTCAACTCGCATTGACTTATGTATCATGGGCGGAAGGTTTCGTCCATGGGATGGCGGCTACTCCGCATTTGTCGGTTTAGTTCTAGCAGACCATGTAATGAATAATCCGATCGTGCTAGAGTTTGTACAGATATTGAGAGATCTGTTGTTAGCAAGGCGGAATCCACATTTGGCGCATCTTCTTGAAGCTAAAGGTCGAACACATCCAGACGACGTCCCAGAGCTGGATGAAGAAGCAAAAGCTGAGAGAAATAAGCAGATTATCATGATAATGAACCCAGTACGACGAGGAGAGCGGTACCCAGGCGCACGGAGGCCTCTAACAAACATCGAAGAGGACGACGAGGCAAAGATGGAAGACTTATTGGTGGCCACTAGTAATGAAAGTGGCATTGGTGTTGGTGCTGGCGGTGGATTGAAAGGGGGTCTCGTCGTGCCGGAGGTCTCCAAGATCCATCATTACTTCCGAGTGGATCAAAGAGTCGATCGACATAAACCAGGCCAGGGCCCTGCCTCTAGGTCTTCATCATCTTCATCACAGCCACCATCAGCAGTGCACTATAATAGTGATCGTGTCTCTAAGGTCTATACCCCTCTGCTAGTGTCTGGGGAAGCCAAGCATCAAATCCCTATAACGCCACAAGATCCTGAATCCGTGGTTTCTCAGGAGCAGATCCGTCAAACACTTTCTGAGGCAAAGCTGCGGTCGATTCGAAATCGAAACCGTTGGTTTTTATACGTGACCTTAGTCAGGAACCCATCCATACGTCCTCTACGTCGAACAAAAATCAAGGACTTTCTACACCCAATCGGTCATGGCGCTGAATACACAGGATCTCACCTCGAAGAGATGCTCACTGATATACATTGGGATCAGGAGGACTAAAGCCCTGTGGAATAATTTGTTTACTACCAATTTCACCTCCATTCTCAGCCATTAGATTATTACGAGCAATATTGCATTTTTTTTTTTAAAAAAAAAAAACTATATTAGAGATAGAAAATGTTTAGCGACAAGTATTTGAGTGGATTCTGTAATATAATGTCGAGATGATCCAAGTTAGCATGTCTTGCTATTGAATCCCTGCTTTCATAAAAGTATTCGCGAGAAAAGTCGACGGTCGCAGGCGCAATTAAAATAGTGCTATAAAGTTGAATGCAGTAAAATAACCGTTAGTATTTAAATCCAGAGGTCATCTTATTATAGAGTCTATTGCCTTATTTTTAAGGTATCCATACCGCTCAAACTGCTTTGGACCTATCCTCCTAAAAATAACAGCCTTTCCTCCTTTTTCTTCTAGCAGCTTTTTCCGTAAATCTACGTCAGGCGCTAACGGCACTCTTTGTCTCTCCGCAATGAGATCTGCAACAACCTCTACTCGGGATTTCTGACGCCAATCAGAGATCTTTAAATCTACGTTGCAGCCCTTTGCTGCTAAGCGATTATATCCAAAAAGATGGTGGGGAGGCATATAAGTCTTATAAAAGACAACGTGAGTAGTATAGCTCATGCCATCATCCATATGTAACACACCTAAAGTTTTCATTGGGGAAAGAGTTAAACAACCTTATTGTTGTCAAACAATAATGCTAGTCAATCAATAGTTAGAATAATAAATGAGATTCATTTGACTCGACTTACCACTCTGAGATGGATATACTGTGCATATGGCATGCGTATTTGTTGGCTCGACCACATGGCAGTCTTGAAACCCTAGAGATTGATGCTGGACCAAATTTATCGCCGGTACAACCCCAGACTGATGAAATGCTCCAAAGATTATGGCCCCTGTCAAATTGATCAAAAGCCATAAGGGCTATTTATTTCCCAGTGTAGCCCAACATAATGCATTGGGTTTAACGAGTTAATAAATTACTGAAAAATAAAAAAATAAAAAATAAAAAATGTTTTTACTCATTATATTAACATTGCGTAGATAATGATGTTCACAATACCCAAAACTTGCAACCCAATTTTGAAATACGCCCAGAAAGCGAGATAACAAGGGGCAAAATCAGCGGTGTCAAAAACCTTGCTTCTTGATGAGGCATGGCCGACAGAACTGAAATTCCACAAATACCTGAGTACGACAGAGCTATTTAGAGAAATGCAAAAAAAAAAAAAAAAAAAAGCTTAGTCAATATATTTCTTCATGTGTTGTTATAATTACTTTCGTTATCATTATCATCGTAAATGCAATTTGTTAAACAGACCTGTGATGAGTTTATTCTTGCTTCTCCATTCTCTGGCTCGAACTTTAGACAAGAGCGTGCTAAGCCCAATCCAGGCAAGATTTCCAAAGAGTACTGGGAAGTTTACGAGCACATGAAAGAATCTCGGATGAAGCCCATGTTGGGCCAAATTCTCTTCCTTCAAATTGTACTTTATATTGTTGAGCATTGTCATGACTAATGATCCTTTGTAGGAGAGATTCGTCCATTCCAAAGGACTAGTAGAGAGCAGCTCTCGAGATGTCAAGGCTTGTCCACTGATCTTGTTAATAATAACCAGCTTTCCAAAATAGAATGAATCAACAAGGATAGATAGTATAGCTGTACCTCCTAGCCCTATAGCAAGGGGAATGCATGAAATAACAAACTGCCTTACTCCTGCTAAACTATGGATGTGGATGTGGATATGGACAGAAATAAAGATTTAGAAAAGAGCCAATTAGATTTCTGCAATACTTGTGCGTCTTTAGTAAAGGCATCACTTGCCAGAGATCTGTTACTTACAGTGATTTGCAGCCATTGAACGATGCCTTCATATTAAGGCCTAGGAACATGATGCCCAAAGGAAAGCCATAAAGAATGAATGTGATCCTAGTAAAGATTCCTATAGAGAACAGGATTCCTAATCCAAAAGAAAGAATTGGTGACGTTGTCCTTAATTCCGGGGCTCCTGTAGGGTGTGTCGTATCTGGTTTTGATGGCCTAGCCCCTATACTAGTTCTCGTTTCTTCTGGCGATTCCTGCTCTTGAATAATACGTCCAAGCAGCAGTGCACATAGCGCAAGGACCGTTGTCTCGACAGTATTTGAGAAAGGATGCGTATGGTAGGCGAGCGTGACGTAGGATGATGAGACAAGTAACAGTGCGATGGAAGGTGATCGCCTGATCTGGCGTGCTATTCCTAATACTGCCCAGTCTGCTTGGAGTTTTTAAAAGCGAGAAGTACGTGATATGAGTATTTGGATTTGAGTTGACAACCATCATTTTAACTAAAAGAAACCGTATTTCTACCAATTACGACAGAGAGTAGGAGAAAGGCTAGTCTTTGTGTCAGGAAGAGCGAGCGCGCGGTAACGTATTGATCTGCTGGTGTTATCAAGAATATATCTATATATGTTAGTTGAGGCGGTTATTTCCTATATAAATATATATACATATTCCTCGTCTTTCATATCATCACCTGTCTGGAGGTTGATCCATCTTTTGAGAATTGCGAAAGGTAATGCGGTGGAGATAGCTCTATGTTGATGAAATAGTAATAGTAAGCAATTAATATAGGCAACATTTCAGCTTGATTTGAGTAACATAGTAGGAACCTGGCAGTAAGATAATAAAATTAATTATTACGGTATAAGAATAGAGCGACATGGTAAGTTTGGCTGGTATTCCCATGGGAGGCAAACATCTATGCCAAAAACGTCGCCTGTAGAAAAGATATGACAATAAGGGATATTAAAACTCGAGGTTAAGACGAGAATTATGTAAAAAAAAAAAAAAATGCGCTTAATCTTGATAATAAGGTTCCTAGATCCTGCCTGCAGTTATCTCGGCGGACTGGAAGTACTCGTCTGGATGTATATAGCCAGGTGCAAAGGCGCTAAGAATGCGTAATGCGAGTAGCACCAAGTAGAGAGACCTTGTAGCCGTTGAGAGTGGTCTGGGTCGACGGTGCATCAGACTTTTCGTTGAATAAGAATGTGTGAATAAAACATGAACATTTTAATGGAACCAACGGGTGGTTGGTTTCACAAAGGATTCACTCATTGCACGTGGAATGTCCAAAGAAATCGCATGTGCTACACCAATCACAACAAGCGTACACTATTTTGTACACTTTCGCGTCTTTTTAAACAAGCATCATTGTGCAGCCCGATCGATGATCCTGTTCTCGCTCACGCCACTAATTCTCTAACCCAGTTTGCATGGCTTTCGTGCAGTAATAATAACAACAACAACACAATCATCGTTGCACCACTATGGCCTCCATCGCACCAATGTGGTGGCTCAAGGAAGTTCCAGTTCAAATCGACTCCTTTGTTGAAACCAGTCATTCTACAACACACACTGTCCCTTGTCCTCGAAATATTCAACAATACCAACTACATGAGGATAGTCGAAAATTTGAAAATTACGGAGGCGTTTTTGCATTCCCCAACCAGTATGCGAAATCTGTTGTTTGGAGGACCAGGGAAAATGCCACTGTGTTGGAGCTTATCCTACTTTCAGGGAAAGAGAACGCACCTACTGGACAAATTTCCTTTCGATTTCATGCGCCGATTATTACAGGAATACACGTTGCTGCGCTAACGCAACAAGGAGGAATATTTATAATGCTTATGACAGTCGACAGTGTGCTTTATCGGCTGAATATCACGGCCTTGAGCCATTTCCTGACCTCGAGTACACCTGACGGATACGCGTCCGCTCTGCAGATCAGATACGCAGCAACTGCTGCGCCAAAGCTCTTTAAATACCTTGGAGACAGGCAGGCTGCATTAGCTCTGACAGACGGCAGTCTCTTACTTATCAAGGGAGCTCTATTAGCTGAGGACACTAATCAAAATGGTAATGTTGATACGGATGATAGAATATTGATTGGTGTTTGGTTTTGATGGGTGGAGATAGCAACTGAAGAAATAGACGGCCTGCTTTTTCTATAGTCCATACGGAAATGAAGGTGTCCGAGCTCCATGATGATTCATATCACCCTAGCATCTCTCAGGATGGCTCAGCACTCCATAAACTTCGCTCTATATTAACTTCATCTACAGATTACAATAAGTCTACAACAACTGGACCCCATCAAACTTCCGGTTTGAACATTTTGGCCTTGGAAACCCATAACATACATAATGATACTCTACTCTTTACGCTTCATCAGGACAGAACAATCCGTGTATGGTCTGTTCGCCATCAGCGCTTACAAGTCATAAGGTGTCCCGCCTCGCCTAATGATGCCGGATATATACAGGAGGCGCTCAGCAGCTCTTCCCGAGCACACTTAGGAGTCCTCTTTAACCCAGCAATGCCATGGGTAATCCGCCTAGTAGCCTATATGCCTACCGATAATGATGTCCACTTGTCCATATACACTTCTCGGATCGACACCATAGAGGACATTGATTTTATCCGAGGATCAACTACTGTTCTCCGGTCACAGTCAGCGTTAAGCCCCGGATCTAGCCCCGCACACCTAATCAACTGGAGTATTATCCCCAACGAAAACCAAGCTGGATTTTACATCTGGGGCGTTTGGCAAAGTGATGTGAGAATATGCGTAAAATATCTACAAATCGACGATCCAGTAGTCGAGCGAGAGCACTATCACCAATTCAGTAAACGTCCTCTTTTGAATGGCCGTTGGTGGCCTGTAGCTATGCAGATGCCTTTAACTGGATTTGTCAAGTCCATGAGCCATGTAGACGATTCAGTCAAGGATGTATCCAAGTACTATGCTGACGTTATCTTCACCTCTGGGCATTTCTCTGAATGCACTATTATTCGGGCACTGAAAACGCTTTTTCAAGATCGCGAGTATACACCCAATGTCGACCTGGAGTCGCAGGTGATTGAGGCGCTTTTTGTTAGGACACCTCCTGGGGCTTCTCTTGTTGAACGTGAGCGGATCAGACATAGGGAGATTATTGGTTGGACCCGGTTTATTTCGTATTGCGCTAAACTTGATCATGAAGCATCTAGAGCGCTTGGTCTATCCATTGCATTGGATACAGGATATATGGTCATCATCAAGCAAGATTCTCTTAGCTTTCTTACGGCGTGTGACGATTCCGAAATTCTTTATCATACCTTCCAGGACAAACAATTTGAAGTGACACAATTCATTGCTTCCCCGCCATCTCAGCTAAGAAGCACGTACCCTAGACTTCGAGATCAGGCTCTTCGTCATGATATTGCTAAAGTTTTCCGAGCGATCGACCATTTGTCCCACAACATCACAAATGAATCAGCAAAGAACTTGGAAAATACTATTTGCCAGCTTTCATTAACGAATGGGCCTAGGAATTTCGTTGAAATCTTATCGCAAGAACATCTTCCCTATTACATCTCCAAAGCTGATATGAACAGAGCAAGGAACTTAGTGGGGGCATGCAAATCACCTGCAGATGTCTTTCGATATCTCACTCTGCAGCTTGCTCATAGCGAAGACACTAGCTCTGATACTAATCAAGCAGGACCAATACCTCACCGCCGCGTTCTCCCCTATGAAACCCTTGTTGTAACAAGTATCCAGCAACTTGCCTCCAGCCGATACACCATCGCCCAAAATGTCCTCATTCTTCTTGCTACCATCTTCAGCTCGCCCCGCTCTTATAGAGCCTGGGTACAGGACGAAGCCCAGCTCCTTTCCAGTGCAATGCGTGTGACACAGTCGCTTATGCTTTTAAAATGGATCTCTAACCAGGCTCTCTCAGCCCCAACATCGACTAGCATGGAGCTAGAACAACAACTTTCAAAGATGCATGTTGATGAAGCTAATCTTAATAATCCACAAGTAACTCTCCGAGAGCGGTTGACAGCCAGCCTCTTAAGAACAATGACGTCAAAGACTGGAAAAATAAGTACGGTTGAATTTCCTATTTACTTTGCCGTACCACGCGTCGTATCGACATTTCTGCATGTCATAGGAATTCGTAGTCAGCGTTCAGAGACAGAAGCCATGTATCATGCAGGATTAGCTCAGCATCTCTCGAAACTCAACGAGATGAAACTGCTAGCACAGTTTTTGGACATTGTCTCAACAGCTTCATCCCTCTCCTATTATCGTGGAAGAGTCTTATTAAGTCAAGCAAAACCAACGCAAGCTATAGAACAATTTATGGCCGTCATAACCTGTTTTGGTACGGTAATCCTCGTAAAAATCGCAATATGTAGCCTTCTTTTTTGAAACCATGTGTCTCTAACCCCGTTTATGGCATCTCTGCCTTCCTCTTTTAGGAAACGGTCTTAAGGAAGTGGAACAGGAATTGGATATCATGCAACTCGATTACTCTACAGGCGTCATTAGAGGGCATACAAAACTCGAGGAATATTACGACAATGTGATCAGACTGTTGGTGGAACATGGCGCTCATGAACAAGCCATTACTATTGCTAAGATAGCTCTGAGCGACATTCTTCATGTGAGTATCGTATGCTGTAGTGCGAACTGTACTTTGTTTAAGCCAATCCTAATTGCCTTTGTTTTCGGCATTGTTTATGTAACGTAGAATTCTAAAGCAGATGTACGGATCCGGAGCCTTCTAGAAGTGATCATTGATTCTGCCCTGGCTATTGGCGCTTACGACAGTGCTTTCAATGCAATGATGTTACTTCCACAAGACGGCCTGTATGGTGTATTTTGGATGATGTTAGAAGTCTTATTAGGTCTTGTACTCTCTCTCCGGCACTTACTAACGCGAAACCTAACTTTTGATTATCTGTCCTTAGTAAGAGATCAGCTCTGAGAAAGTTTGTCAAGATAATATGCGATAATGGTGATGGGGCAAAACTCAGCCTATTCCCTTTCAATGGACTTCAAGATCAAGTGGAACAGTTACTTAAATCAAAAGCTGAACAAAACGCAGTCCTCTCTAAACCCGACAATTACAAAATTCTCTACTCGTATTACATTTACCGGTGCGAATACAAAAAGGGTATGTGGAATACTCAATGCTTTTTTTTTTTTTTTAAAAAAAAAAAAAAAAAAAAAAAAAAAAAAAAAAAGAGTGAGAGAGAGATAATAACTACCCACTATTCTACTACTAGCTGCTACAATCATGTGTCAATATGCAAGAAGACTGTGTGATGGAACGAACAGGACAGAGACTGTCTGGAGACTTTTAACAGAGGCGGGTTCAGCTTATTTGGCCGCCATCAATGCTCTCCAAGCAGCTGACTCTTCTAACGCCTGGGTATCGATTGAACTAGCAGGTGTGGCCATTGAAGAGGTAACACAATATGAAAGCGATATTTATATTTGATGATGTCCATAAGCAAACAAACATTTAACAAGTTAATGTCTTTGTGATTTATGTAGCCTTCCAAAAGAAGACGATTAAACGACTCTCTCCAGAACCCAACCTCTAGTGCTCTACTTGATCGTCGGTGTGTAAGCGTACCTTGCAAGCGTGAGATTTTACAATTGACAGACCTCAAACAGGAATTTCAATTGATTAAGGCCAAGCTGTTGCTTGTGACTGAAATCCCTGACGAAGTCATCCCAGGTAGGCCCCGTACTTTTGAACAAGCTGAACCTGCATTATTTTACAATTGCCAGAGGATCGTTATGCTCATATAAAGATGAACATGTTTCGTATCTATGTACATTTCTATAGCTGCCTTGACGATGTCAGCAAGAGAAACTCAACTATTACTTGTTCAGCGTGGATGCTATGAGGAAGCAACCTCATTAGCGCTAATGCACGACTTAGATCTTGATATTGTATTCAAGTTGCTAGTGGACAAATATCTAAGCGATTTAAGGCTAGAGCAAGAGTAGTATACGCATTCACACAGGATTGGGATAATTCAATTTAGACGTTCAATTGAGATGATGCCAAGACGTTCTCAAAATAAAATAAATAAAGCCTTGGAGATCTACCTTAAAGCATCCTAATTTTGTTCAGAATCCGATCCAAAATTTCTGCAATGTAGAAACACCACGCCACCACTGATACACAGGATATTGGTATTCACTTATTCTTATAGTCTGTACACATTCTTCGCTATCCTTCGAATCCTCGTTTTCTCACCAAGCGTTGATCTCTGATTGGCATTTGTCTGATTTGTTTGAGGCCTCTAACTGTTGAGTGCCCGTGCTCTTTAGCGAAATGCTTCAATGTTTGAATGACCGTATTTGTTTCCATCCCGGCAACCGGTGTGCCCTCCTTGTGCATGTGCTCTTTGCAATCGATGACGTAATGAGTCCCTCTTGGATAACTTTTGACCATCATACATTTGTCTTCGTATCGGAGCGTGCAAGGCTGTTTTCTCGGAAGGTAGATGCTCATTAAGCACCCAAAAGACCTGCGGGGAACCCTGATTGCGAGGACTTCTTCTCAGCTTTTGAGATAATGATATATGTCAAGTATTTCAACTTGCTCTTCTAATGTATAAGAGAGCATGAACGCTGGAATCTCGAATTGGTCAGGGTTTGAGAACATAAAAACGGTTGACATGTTCTTGCTCCCGACACATTCACTCAAAAATGCCTCTATATCTTTAATGACTGGTACGCTCAGTTTCTTCAAGCTCACGTTGGTGCACTTTTGTTGTTTTTTTAGCGTAAAGGCGGAAGTGGTGCTCTAGTTCGTAACAGATTTTTTTTATCTGCATGTCATGTGCGCCAATATCTGTGGCTGTATTTATTGACCTTTAGAATACAAGGTCTATTCAATAGTTTTTATGGACAAATCCAGTCAAGTTCGAACTTTTCCTTGTAATCCGACATCGTATGGTTTGTATAATGCTTTGATGGCTAATTAGTTACAAATGTAATAGTTAATGACCATCAGATCATCAATAGTCCTCTTACTCTAGTGTGATTTCAAGAGGATTACACATATTCCCTGCCTTCATATTGCTATAAAGTAAACATATTTACTTGCCGACACAGTAAAATGCAGGAAAACTACGCACGTTTCTCTTGCTGCAAACTACACAAACCTACTTGCCAAAATGAATCAAACTGTAGAGGGAGCTACGCATACATTCACTCGCATTAATATAATGATAAACCCCCCCCCCCAAAAAAAAAAAAAAAAAAAAAAAAAAAACGTCACCCTAAAGAAGGATGAAGAGTGAAACTAGTCAAAGCCATTACCTTGGTTTATCCAAGAATGCACCTAATAGCTATCTTTAATAACTCGGGTGTTATGAAAACAAGTTGATGAAGCATAAGAGTAGAGTTGACAGATGTTTAATATGTCGCGTTGGCTGTCAAAAAGCCTATATTTAACAATCTGATATAATTTGTGGTTGCCAATAACAACGATAGTAGCCTCGAAAAAAATAGCAACTAAGAACGATCCCGATTTTATCGTGTCAATAGGGAACTTCTCGATAATGGATAGGTTAAATTCGGCGTCATCGTTGCAAACTCTCAAATCTTATCTCGAGCGATATGATAGCGCTGCAACAAACTACAAATACCATTCAGTGGTAGTAGAGAACATATTGATGGTCAACCCGGATTTTGATTTACAGCCATGGTTGATCCAGCACTACCTGGTAAATATCTTGACTTGCACTCTTTTTATATTGTGGTAAAACTAGGAACATGCTATCACATATTCCGCAGACATCTAAATCTTATTGAATTGCCCAACAGAATCATAATCCTGAGGATTTGATACGCTTATATCTCAAGTTCGGAGCATTGCAAAGAGCAGCCAAATTCGCCTCTCTCGTGATCAATGCAGTAAGTGAAAATTAATCTTATTTTGCTTACTGACTCGGGATAACGGGCAATCTCCCATTTGAATGTTTACTAACCGGACTTTATTTTTGTTATGATTGTAACATTAGGCAATGAAACCAGATGAACTAATTTCTCGCCATTCTAACGCGCGCTGGCTGCCGTATTCTTTGTTGGATGAAATCTTTGAGCAACTACAAAAGCACATTCAACATGCAGAGGATCATGGGACTACCAATGACGCAAAGTCGAAAGATCAGCTGAGAGACCTAAAGAATATTCAACAGCAACTCAATGAAGATGTAAGACTGTATCTTGAGAATGTACAGCGTGAATCTATCTTCTAAAACTAGTGATAAAATCCCATTCGCATTTAACAAGGGAATAGAGGACTTGGCTTTTGTAGTTGAGCTTTGGTTGAATCGAGATGTGAATAAACAATAAATTCTGCATTCAAAATGTTGGCAGGTCTAATTAAAGCATGAGTATGTTCATGATAGTTTTGATCTTCTCAATATCTGCGCCCTTGCTTTCTCGTAGCTACAGGAATCCAGATAACCAGATTTTATTATCAATGTGATCATGAAGTGGAAGACATAAAAAAAAAAGTGTTAAATATTAGATATAACAGCCAACAAGCAATTGGGCATAAGAATGACGCTTCTGTTAGTAAAATAAAATAAAATGTTAATAAAGAGTACCAGACTCTTTACCTGTTTAAAGGCGAGTAGAAGTGAAAGTGCCCTGGTGGTTGCGCGTCTCCACTTGGACTTCTACCGGGCTAGAGATTCTAACTAAACTGGGCAGCTTGCTTAGATAAACTAGCAGATCTGAAAGACCCAGGATTCCTAAATTTCAGCCATGATCACCATCGAGCTATAGGACTTGAAGGAGTAACATGCGTCGTAGAGCGTTGGTTTAGAGTCAAAAAACTGGTTGGATCAGAGTTTGAATGAATGTGTAATAATGCACAATCATTACATCCGTTTATACCATTTGACAAATACTTTTATCGTTTTTTACAAGATCAAGAAGATCTGTAAACTGTCGACAAGGAGCCTGTATTTCGAAGCCCTCTCCTCTTGATCAGATCCAGTGCTTCACATGTACAGTCGAAACTGGTTTTTGAACTAACCTCTCTAAAAGTTTTGTTCTAAAATGATGAAATGCAGTCACACATATATTTCTCACGTGATATACTCATGTTGTAAATAGTAGGTGTATCTTTGCTTAAGGGGCAAAAAGATAGACACAAAATCAGGAAAGGACAGTACAAAGAGTGTCAACAAGAATAACAAGAGAAAATAAAGACAAACAACCTTGACGACAAACAGCGTCATAGGATGCCGAAAGAGAAAGATGGGAGCTTTATAGGTTAGCTCACAAACTGAGTTCCTGGACGGCAAATGCTTGTTGTGAAAAGGGGAAAAGATAATAGCAAGAACAAGACGTATGGGGAAAACTGAAGACTTTATTGAGGAAGAAGTTCTTTGGCTTTTATAACTTAGCCTACAGGCCTGACTGTGGTGCTTTCTAGGTGAGGTGGACTCACCGATAGCTTAAGGCTTTGCACAAAGGTTCTTTTAACTGTGGATCGACAGAATGTCCCGATTAGTAGATACAAAGTAAAAATAAAATAGTTATAATTAATTTATATAACTATTAATGACCAGCCACAACACTCATATGCATATCCACACAAAAAATATTAATATTTATTGTTCTCACTCAAGATTTCAGTGTCCATCTCGCTCTTATAGGCGGCACAGAATCGTACCAGGTCTTTCACGGTTCTCCGGATCTTCCGTTTAATCTCAGAACCGTCATCAGTGCTTTCTCTGACCTGCTTGATGCCTCCGACACTAAATGCATTCTGACCTCTTGCTAGATAATCCCGTGCTTGAATTGTCACAGCTATATCCTCATCGGCAACTGGTGAGCTTTCAACTTCATCAGCCTTGCCTGCCTTCTCTCCCTCCATATCTACCTGCTGTGGCGCTGCTTCATCCGGCCCCTGTCCGTCCTCATTCTGTACTACTTTGAACTTCCAGTTGTTCGTTGCAGAAACCTCGGCGATCAAATGTTCAAAATATGTCTTTTCTTGCTTTATGTATCGACTATGTCGAGTGTATAAAAGCGGCCTTGCTCCATTATTATCTTTCGATCATCGACGGCGAAGCTGCTCACGCATTTCGTTTGGAAGAATAGGCGTTTTCACAAAACAATTCTGTAATGTCTGGGGTTTGATGCATTCCCATGCATAGGGGATTAATGTCCAAGCTTGCCCATTAGTGAGGGACTTCTCCTTGTCATAGGTACGAACGAGGTGTGTTTCGTAAGTGAGCATTTCCAGAAAGGCTGGCTTAAAGACACTTATAACTCCAGCATCAAGCGGTTGAGTTACTGGGGTCGAGTTTTTTGGTAGGTATCTTATCTTGACATGCTTCCATGGGATGCCATCCTTAGCATCACACATATCTATATTGCTGTGGGCGCCGGCCGAATCAAGGAGAAGAAGTGCAGATTGCATGAGCTCATTGTCAAACCCCTGCAGCCACTTTACAAAAACCTCACGATTCATCCACCCTGAATCTGTTTTCTCTATCGTCATTTTTGATAGCGCATTTTCTTCGACATTCCTTGCGAAGTGGCTGGCTAGAAAGTGTCAAATACCAACTAGTCGTAATGGCTATAAATTGAAATGAATAAAGAAAAGGCTACTACAAACATAAACCATGCATTCAATGTATTACCGATAACCGATGGCTTCAAGGAGTTCATGGTCTCAGCCATTGCTAGGGAGGTGCCAGAGGCGTTGATACAAAATAAGACCGAGACTTTGAAGTCTCTGAGAGCCTTAATTCCAGCTTTGGAGGAAGGTACCGTATAAGATCTGGCGCTCATTTCCTTCAAATAGAAGCCTGTTTCATCGCAATTGAAAATATTATCGGGGGTGTATTCAGCACAAAGATGGCGGATCTCCTCGAGCTCAGGCTCAATTTCCTCTAAGTCGACCAAACCAGCGTCTCCATGAAGCTGGCAGTATGATATATTATAGCGATGCTTGAATGAATCGAACCACGAGGCTGAAAATGATGGTGGAGCTTCGGATACAGTGCCGTTCGATTCATCTTAAAGGTCGCAGAGGAGCGCGTATGTAACATTGGCTGCCTGTCTGATCACCCTTCGGTTGACATACTGGTTCTTCTTACGCTGATCTTGAATCCAGTAATAAATGACCTCCTCAAGCATCAAGTTCTTGCGATTGACAACGTAATGGGTACCTGAAAGGTACATTTTGGCTGCGGCACGCAGTTGGCCTTCACGGCTAAGCATGAGCCGAAGGCTACTTCTCGGAAGATGGATCCCTAGTAAGCGACCAAAGGAGCTGGGAGAGAGCTTGATAGGAAGTGAACCTTTACGTTTCTCGAGGTAGTGATATATGTCTAATAATTCAACTTGTTTCTCCAGGGGATAAGAGACCCTGGCCATAGGGATCTCGTATAGTTTAGGTTCAGGAAGTATAAGAACGGAAGACATATCATTGTTTCTGGCACTCCGCAAGAGATCATTATATCTTTGTTTGCGACAGTGGTCGATTTCCTCAAGCTCACGTTTGGTGTATTTTTTGTTGCTCGTTACATTGGGAAAAGAAGGACATTTTTGCTTTTCAGTATCATTTATTGTTTTGGTTGAATTGTGTCCCCTTGAATATAAGAACGCGTGGTGTAGAACGATGAACGGATAAAACGAGAGAGTGGTATCTGAAAAGTCTGTGAGAAAAGCGACTTTTTTTGTGTAGACGTATCATGTGAGAAATATATATGTGTGACTGCATTTCATCATTTTTATAGAATGAAACTTTTAGAGAGGTTAGTTCAAAAACTTTTATGCCACTTTTCATTAGTAAAAGTGGCATAAAAACCAGTTTCGACTGTACGCTAAACTGTCCTCGTTAGCTGGTGAAATATGATCACGGCTTGACGAATAAGCTGCATCCTTAAAAATATTTCTATGGCCCAGTATATGGACCACGCCTAGCATTACATCGAATAAGTAACTGTCTGAAGAGTAGTTGAAGTTCTAGCCGTGTACTTTGGCCTTCAAAGGTGTACGCTCCTCCCATGTCACCATTGTTTTAGGCAGCTCAGCCTCCCGAAGCCAACAACTGTGAAGGCTAACATTCCTCAACTTGGCTTCTTGTCGCTGAGTTCAGTCGAATATATCACCGACATCTGTTCATAGGATCCAGGTGTCCTGCAAGTCTATTAAATGAACGATGCTCCTACTTGGACCAAGATCTGTTATTCACCACTTGTATTGCTATTCATGAGTTCAGCAGTCATTAACTGAGCAATATATATTTCCTACCTGTTAGCAAACGTCTACGCTTAACATTCGATCCCAAACTAATCCGGAGCGAAGGTATTTAAATACGTACGAAAAGCGCCTCGCAATTTGGAGGTTTTTTCATCTTTTTCAAGAAAATGCTCTCCCCTTTCCCTCTAATGCTATTGAATGAAAATGCACTTAATTTCTCTTCATACTGTGAGATATCGGATAAGCATCCATATGGCTATAATCCTGTCTGCTTTTGTTTCTCTCTTGGCAACCAAGGCGATCTGGTTTTTAAATTTTATCTTGCTAGGCTGGTCTGTGCTCTCATATCAACAGAGTTTGTTGATTTTGATAAGGCTGCAAGGCACAAAGCGGAGTAAGTGCTCTATGACTCTATACATAGTGGCAACCTTGAATAAAATGATTCTTGATTGTCAGGATTGTCAGGATTGCCATAAAAGTAGACAACATTGCAGATGTTTATTAGATATTTCACATTATCATGGCAAACTGACTACACAGTTGGCAGTGGTTGATGACTGCATTCTGAATGAGGAAAAAAAAATGCAAGCCGCTGACTCATTTTTTTTTGCTCAACATTGGTGGCAAAAGTACAATGTCAAAAAAGAAAACATGGAACAACAAACGAGGATCAATAAATTGACAAGCGTGAATAAAGCGATGCTTAAATATCGAAACCAGGGATCCTCTGCTTTTTTTTATTTACTTCTTTCTTTTGGACAATTATTGTGTCTAAAACGTATATTTTGATGCAATGAAAGCCTATCTTTTAAAGCTCGTTCGAATAGGCGCCATCTGTCGTCATGCCAGAAAATAGTCCCATTTCCTACTCTCTACCAATGCTGTTAAATATGTCCTCATCTCGCAAGTGCTATGCGCTGGGTGTAGCTCCCCGCTCAGTTCGCTCGAGCCTTGGCGTTCCCACTGAAGGTGGTTTCGCCCCGTTAAAGCCGTTAGTGCTGATTGACATAGTGCCAATAGCATTGACAATACTGTGACTACTACCATTGCTCATATTGTCCTTTTGCCGGACGCGATTCATCATCGCTTCTCGGTACTTATCCGTCTTTGTGAACTTGGGAACAGAATCTGTTGACATAAGTCTGAAAATGTGATCATGTATTCGATCAAAGAGCGAAATATGGATCAGCTCCCGCTGTGGTGCACTATTTCCCCGACTCTCATTATCACTATTATGTTGGTCATGGGCAGCTGATGATGTATATGGTGAACTAGAGTTAGGCGGAGATCTATGATTGCCGCTTGGCGAGGGTGCTGTAGATGCCGGGAGAGGATGTGCATTCATATTTCGAACAACCGCTTGCATATAGGCAGTAATATCCTGCCTCATCTGATGAGGTAAATTTAGCTCACGAGGGGCTCCAGATACCAAGTAGGTTTCGTGGATGGCAAACGCTTGCGTGCAAATCTGTTTCTCTAGTTCACGCAAAGACAGTGGATGTAGAGCATCCAAAATAAGGCCACCTGCACCTGTTAGAGAGGCCGCTCCTTCTGGAGCTGAGCGACCAGCTCCGACCTCCTCAGAACCTGGATGTAAGTAAGCTTGCGAAGAGTTGATGAGGGTGTTAAATTTGTCCTTGTAGTCCAAAACCTCCATGTAGAATGACAGATTCTCCTCACAAAGACTCTGCTTTAAAAAGCCCTTGAACATTTCACGTAGTGTCAAATTGGACAAGATCAGGTTTAGCCTTGTCGTATTTGAAGTTGTCGACTGCGCTGATGAGCCTAGCGCTGTAGTAGAACTTCCTCCATTCGTAGAAATGCCTTCACGCTGGCTCAAGGAATCTTTGCTAGAAGATGATGGCGCATAGGAGGATACTGTATCAGCTAATAATTGGGAGGCCGGGTCATTTATGAGTTGAGATAGACGGTAGAGAGACCCATTTGTTGTCGTTGCATCGTCGCTGTAACGAGTTGAGCTTCCAAGGCTGTGCTCGTCTGCAGAACGACGCTTTTCCTGCATCACTGAGATAGGAAGCCTTGAGACATTGTTGGAGGTAAGCTTAAACTGTGTAGAGAGAAGTAGTTCTGGGCCGGACCGACCCAATTTGATGCCGGTATGCCTTCGACCTAGGTACCAAGCCGACGTTATATGCCATATATAAGTTGTATGTTCGAAATTCCTGTTAAGTGACAACTCGAGACGATATTGAAAGAAAACTGTCTACTTACCATCCATCCAACTTCCATTGACGCTGCTTCCACGGTTGTGAATAAGGCTTTCCCAGCCTAAAACAGCTCTTCCTAGCTCAGTGAAATGGTACAGTGCCGAATTCCCTGCCTTAAATAATGGATGTCCATTCCGGCTCTCGTCTCCTACTTGTTCAATGTATTGAGCTGAAACCATCTCCTGTGCAATGCAGATCGCTTCCTCCTTACTAATAACTGTTGTATAATCCAAAATCCAGTCAACGGCAGCTTTTCCATTGAAGGTATGCTTATATATGTCATAATTATGTTGTTGGTCTTTCACCTCAATTCCATTGCATCGATTAATGCTCGCTTGCATTCTGTCTCTACTAGAACTTGAAGTTAACGTAGATGGCTCCCCTGAGCTATCTGACATAACATTTGGCCGTGAGCCTGCGAACCGTTTAAAAATAGTATCGACAGATTTTTGATTTAAAACAATTGCGTCTTCGTCTTCCGCACGTTCTAAAATCAGAATGCGTGGAGTTGCATTTGCCGTGATGTGACGAGTATCTTCTATAGATAATCCATTGCGGCGTACAAACTTCTCAATGATATGTCCACCCTTCCCTGTGACTTGATAAACGCCTTTGTTCTGAAATTCTCGCTTACTAGGGTCCGATGCGCTCTCAAAGAGACGTGCGTCCATAAATGTCTGGCAGAGGTTCTTTGCCATATCACGTGATAATGAAAACTGGGTTGTAACCACCCGTGTAATGATCCTGGTGGGGTCCCTAGGGTCTGCGTCATGGTTAGTTTGGATGAATTGAAGGCCACCAAGGTTGGAAATAGCATCTTCAGCCAAAAAACTGTTCGGATAGCTTTTTAAAAAAATTTTGTGGTTTTCGATCGGTAGCGAAATCATTAGTGTCGAAAATAAGTCAAAGATATTCTAGTATGGTATTTTGAAGGTTACGATAAAGCTTTATTAGTGGAGGTCTTTTCGATCATTCGTCTTGGCTCTTAATGCCTTTGTTCATCGCACCAATAATATTTTGTAGTCTTTGCGTGTCTTCAATTTCTCTCCTCAGGAACAGGAACATTAGCTAATGCCAATGCTCTGCGATTACGAGTATCATATAGACATCAAGTAAATCAAGAAAACAAGATCTTTAAGGGATACAATATTTATCTGCATCTTGTAGGAGTATCCCTTGATCTGCCCTGTTAATGAATCTCCTGGATTTAACCGAGATTTACTGCCCGCGAGAGACGATTAACGAAGCCTAGCTGTCCAATTTGACTCTCACAACATGAGAAGAAGGGATGCTCACCTTTGCAAATGCTCGACCAGATGTTGTGGTCTTCATTTTGGGATGTGTGTGTCAGATGCAAAAAGAATAAAGACGTCGGTTGTAACCTTTCCAAGTCCGGGATCAAATAAACCGAAGAAGACTGCTCTGCAGGTGTGTTTTACTGGAGACTTTTTCAATGACAAATGCGGATGTGAGCTATTTGGGTAATGACGAATCGCAAAGCGACCTAGTCTTTTTGCGCCTATTGTAAATGGAGGGAAAAAACATTGTCCTGGGTCAGCATAAGCTTGTGATTGCTTCTTGACTTCTCTCATAACTTTTGAATGTTTGTCTGCTCTTGTGGTTTTGGAAGAGGGAAGAGCATTTGTTAATGGAGTAAAAGGAGAGAAGTCATTGGCACAAGAAAACGTGTCAAAAAGAGTGCACAAACACATAAAGTGAGGATTCCATTCATCGGACTTAAAAGAGATATTTGTAGAAGAATTCTGTCGATTAAGGAAACAATATCCAGCCTCATGTCTACAACTTGAGTTGAACACCAATTGCAAAATTGTTTGGAAAAGGTGTAACGAGGGACGTTAGCAAGGGGAAGGGATCAGTGACAGGGTGCCACAAGACATGGAAAGGAGAGGATGAAACAATCCAGATGGGTCCGAGAACAAAGGAACAGGAATAGTAACCTTTCTTTCCCTTTATACTCAATTATAGGCTGTAATAAACTACGGAAAGGCAAAGAATGTGATGAACTCTCATTTGACTCGATAAAGGCTATAACAGGACGATGTACCACATGTTCATGAGCGTCCATAAACGTACACTCCATTTCCACACTCTCACTCCTCTTATGCTTTCTGTCTCCGCATGTTTAACTCTTGAGCTGTGGTTGATAGGAGAATAGGTTGATTGTTTCGTTGGCTGGTTTACCTTTGCTTTGATAATTCAACCCTACTTTTGGTACAGATGACAAAGTGAGGATGAGTAACAATGACAGATGAAAGATTGAGATGCTAGATGATTCGAATGAATTGGAACTATGAGGCAAAGGAAGCTGATTTCGGGAAAGGAATCTTCAGGGCAAAAGTGTAAAGGACAAGCACGGATTAATATGTGATGGATTTGATAGATGAAATTAATCTATGTGAAATGTGTGTGATACGGTGTGAGATGATTGATATATTGAGGTAGAAAGGACAGACTGACACCAGGTAGGATAAAACGATATGGATGACAGACGAAGCAAGAAGAAGAAGGGGGGAGGAAGTTCTCATCCACAGAAAGAGGAAAACCCCCAACCCCTTCCTCTTCTCCAAACAAACGTACGCACATGCACAAGGACATTGTCATCACAGGGCATAGAAGCATTCAATAAAATGCAAAGAAAAACGCGCGCAATTTGAGGAAAAGAACAGTGCACAAGGCCACAACTGTTATTCTTTTTTTACGCATTGCATCGCAGTAGACTACATCTTTTTTTTTTTTTTTTGTATACACTCATACTTGTCTCTCTGCCTTTCTTCCTTCTCTTAAAATAATAAATAAATAAACAGGTAAGAGGAATACCATTCTTCAACCTATATTTTTTAACAAAGACGTGTCAATTAAGTGAGTTTTTGTTTGTTGGGAAATTTTTTTAGATGGACAACTTCTTGACCCTACCCGTTGTGAACAAATTACTTTGTTCTTTCTACAAACATTGTGGGTGTGAGCCTTTGTAACTATCGTCATCTCGGCTACTCCTTTTAAACTTACTCCCTGCGTCTCCTGTCCCCTTGGCTTCAATTATACCCTGGTTATGAAACGCAACTAAATTTTAACCTTGACTCTGTATGCCTTTTCCTGTCCTTTAACTCATCGCCTCCTGCTTTAGCTTCTTTTGATGACAGAATGCCTTTATCATTGGGAGATGATATTTCCACATGGCTCCTGTCGAATTATTGGACGACGATTAACGAATGCCATTAACACGAGCACACTTTTATTTTGCTTAATGTATTGCATCTCTGCCAATTTGCTCAGTATGCATGCGTGTTTTAATACCCTCAGCCTCAGTTACTAAGAATAAAAAAAGAGACCCTGTAACACAGAACAAGTCTAATAAAAGTCGCTCCTTGTCAACGTGATTTGCATGGATCACCATAAAACAGCCACTTCCAAAATCTTCAGGCAAACCTAATGAAATGATTCAGATAATGGCAAAGGATGCTACGTTGCCAAGAACCTCAGGTCGCGATTCATGAGCTTGAAGTTTGACCATGGCCTCCTTGACAGATGTGAAAAAGTATTCAAGTTAAATCTCTGAGTATAAGAAGCTTAAGACAGAGCCACATTAAAAGTTGCTCAGGAGAGAGAGTATGTAAGAGGATTCATCCTGAGGCATATGACACAACCAATTCCTTTGTAACGGACGTATACAAGAAGTGTTCCAGGCACCTGAAAGCAGTTTATCTCGTAAACAATCAAGGTGTTTCAAACACTTGACTAATGTCTGGGAATAGATTCGAGTCTGGGTATAAAGTCTTTGAGACGAGAAAGATGAATCAATACAGAATACATGTACCAAATAATATTGTAGATATAGCTCATGCCAGCTTTGAACTACTTTCTCCTACAGATCAGTATTCTTTGTAGCCTTAACCCTTATTCATCCAGGAGGAGCTCACACTTCAAGGCAATGCAACTGGATCCACCATAAAGTCCCATTGCAAAGATATGGCTCACTCTCGGAAGGGCAGCACTACGCTATGGGCTCGCTCTCCTATAAAGGATAATAAGTGAAGCAGCTACAAAGCATATCCTTTAGACGCGAGATAGAAGGCAGGATAGAAATTCATAGAATTAAGAGAGATACGCTTTGGACTCTTTTTTTTTTTTTTTCTCCCCACACTGGCGTCACGTGACAAATGCACTGTAGTGTGGATGGAGAAGATGCCTTCCATTCATCATCGTTTTGCTCGAGGATTAAAAACAATATACAAGATCTCTGAACATCATCCGGACGAGACGCTTGGATCACTAAAGAAATTATTACAGACCATTGTATTTATTCTATCGCATCTGGCGCAGGGACTCGTTCACATAAGCCGGAATGACTCCATCATCTTACAGGGGGCGACACGTCGTCAGTTGGGGGCTGATCCTCTGGGTCTTTGTGCTTGCTTTAGTGATCACCCCTATCTTCGCTCTTGACGAGACTCAAGCTGGTGTCATTGATTGGTATGAATCGGAAGCTCAGTGGGAGGGGCAGAGAGGCGTAAAAAATACCCTTTCGTATATTGATGCCGACCTGTGAGAAATCTGATCATAACTTTTCACACTTAATTTTCTGAACGACTATAGGCACCATAGATGGATCGGTACTCCACACCTTTCAGCAATCCCTCGAACTACCAGAGGATCAAACACCTTCTTTGCTGCTACTGAAAAGAATGTCGTCGCAGCTATCAAGGCAAAAACAGGCGAACTAGGTACAGACCTTCAACGACATTAGTTTATGACATTTTATTATATTTTCGAAATATTAATATCCATTTTATTGAATTATTCGGTTAACTCTCGCTATTCTAGTCTGGCGTCAAGTGCTTCGCGATGATGAGCCCGTGCACGAAATACGTTCTATATCTGGACGTAAGTACTCCTCCATTTAATAGCGCCCAACAAGTGGAGTCGTTAAATGACCTTTTTATTATTATTATTGTCATTATTTAACCCAATACTTGGCTGTTTTTTGATCTATTGGACACTAGATGTCCTTGCACTTACAGGAACTAAAGAATTTCACGCCCGCCTTCTTGATGGAAAGTCCGGACAAGTCATCTGGGATTTTTCTCCAGCAGGTGAAGGCATTGTCCCAGGACTCGCCTTTGGTCAAGCTGTCACTGTCACTTCCGAAGACTCTAATTTGGTTATTTTGAATCAAGGCACACACGTCCGTAAAGTGAGCGCCAAGGCTGGCACAGAGCTCTGGCACTGGAAGGCTGAAGAGGGATCTGCAACAACATTTTTTTCAGTATTAGAAGCCAAAGGTTTTGACGATCATGGCGATATCACCTATGTGTTAGGGCTCCAGCGCAACGTTGCTGCATTCACACTTGAAGCTGTAGCTCTTGACTCGGCAACTGGAAGTCTTATCAAGACCTTCAACATCAAATCCAACATCGATAGCTTTGAGGACATCTTGACTCTTGGTGGTGGTTCGGTTGTGAAGAATGGGTACGTGGCTTGGTTAGAGCAGGACTTTTTAAAAGTCTTGACCCTCGGAACCAACAGAGTCACACAGTTAAGTGTGAAGGTGAGCTTTTCTTCCTTCTTTTAAACCTACTTTGCCTAGGGCAAACTAGTATACCTCAATTTGCTTCAATGCTTTCTTATTTGACAGACATGATCACACATTAACCCTACTAAGTCTTCTATCGGTGTAGACTATCCTATCTGAAGTCTCTAGTTTTGAAGAGCTGGTGGGCAAGCTAGAAACGGTTAACTTAGGATTAGCCGAAGGCAATACCAAATTCATAATCGGTGGAACCGTTGGTGAATATCATGATGCTAAGGGTAGCGTGCTTTTTGACATTGATGGAGACTCTGGAGAAATAGAAATGATATCGGACTTTGGTGTACGTACTGGCTTTTCATCGTACACAGCGGCAACTAAGCCTGGAACTAGTGAGGTTGTAATATTGAGGGCATTCCGCGAAGACGAAGAACATGGAGCCTTTGAGTTGTATGATGTCTCTGAAAACAAAATCATTCTTCACCAGATCTTACCACTTCCTTTTGACACATACTCTCACTTTTCCTTCGTCGCCCTGGAGCTCTATTCCAAGGGTCAAGGAACTCAGCATCGGTTCTATTTTTCAACTCTGGATGGATCCTTCCATGCATACTCAGATGTTGAATCAGAGCGCTGGCAGCGTGAAGAAGCACTCGCGAGCGTTAAGGATGTCGAGTTCGTGGACTTACCTGAGCGCAAACTTTGGACACAGGATGTCGATGAAGCTGGTCATACCAAAGCAGCAAAGAACCTGACTATTGTTGAGCGCTATGTTGAGCGACTGCGTAATCATATTATTCAACTCAAAGATTTGCCAGCTTTCATCATTTCCTATGCCAATCCTTCGTCCTTGTTTACTAAATCACCCATCGCAGCACCGTATTCTGAAGTTCAAATCAATTCCCTCAACAAAACCATTCCACCTTTATATCGCGACCAATTCGGCCTCCGTAAAATCTTAGTATTCAGTACTGAGAAGGGTAAGGTTGTTGCTGTCGACTCTGGAAATAAAGGCCAAATCGTTTGGAGCCGATACTTTCCTTGGGGCCATGATATCAAGAATATCATCCTTATCCGCCACGCCAATGTTCGACTTCCTCCTGTCATCGCTATTATCGCCGACACTTCAGACGGTGGCGTAAGTAGTGTATTGGGTTTTGAGCTAATAGAACATCCGCTGTTAGAGACAGATGGTTAACTGCTCTTCTCTCTTTTTCTACTTCCCCCCCCCCCCCCCCCTCCCAAAAAAAAAGGGTAACAAGGTCATGCGCACATATCGTCTTAACGCCTTGACAGGAAAGGACTTTGAGTCGGACAACTTCCACTTCCCAGCGGCTGCTTGGATTCCGGCTGGCTACTTGAGTGCTCTTAAATTACCCATTGAGGATCCTGAGCAGAAAACACAAGTATTGGCTCTTGTCGATGAACGTATGCACATCACAACATATCCTGGTATTGAAGCTGCTCAGGAGGCCTTCAAGGCTCTTTCGGACGATTTTTATTTTATGTTGAACAATAATATTGGTGATAAAGTTCTTAAAGGGTACAAGGCTATAGTTTCTTCGGATATGGATCGTATGGATGTGGAACCCATTTGGAGCATCCCCTTCCCGGCTGGAGAGGAGATTGCAGTCCTTGCAGAGAGACCTTCGTACGAAGTCATGGCGTCATTGGGACGGGTCCTTGGGGACCGCGGAGTACTCTACAAGTATCAAAATCCCAACTACGCAACAGTGATCACCGTCAACAAGAAACCAAAACATGGAACGGCACCATACCTTACAGTGTATCTCGTTGACATTGCTAAGGGCAGCATTCTATACCAGGTTACTCACGACAATGTAGGGTTGAATCAGCCCATCCTCGCAACACAGTACGAGAATAATGTCGTATATACTTTTTGGTCTGAGGGAGAGACTTCGACATCTGCTAAAGGCTACCAGGCCGTAGCATTGGAGCTTTACGAGAGTCAGTTCCGCAATCAGCGCACAAAAAGGTGAGTTTAGGTATCCTGAATCATCAATTGATTCATGATATGGCATTCCCACTCAATTGAGCTCTTTTATTTTTATTTTTTTCTTCGCTATGCTTTGTTACTAGTGATATCTTTTCCTCATTCGCTTCAGAACGCCCCCATGTCATCGCCCAGTCATTCCCGTTCCCACATTCTGCCACTGCTATTGGCGTTACATCCACCAAGGCTGGGATCTCGGCAAAGGATATTCTCTTTGGACTTTCAAGGCAATCAGTTATGGCTCTTAACAAACGGTTCCTTGATCCTCGTCGCCCAACATCTGCACTTACGGCCGCGGAGAAGGAGGAAATGCTGATCCCTTACTCCGCTTTACCGGATGATCCTCGGCTTTTCCTGTCTTATGATCTCGAAATAGCAGGCATTAAGAAGATTGCGACGTCACCTACACTTCTTGAATCGACCACAATCGTAGTGGCCTATGGACAGGATGTATTTGTGACTCGTCATGCGCCTTCAAAGACCTTTGATATTTTGAATGAAGACTTTTCAAAATCGCAGCTAATGCTCACTATCGTGGTTTTGGCGGGTGTATTATTTGTCACTGCTCCAATGGTAAGATGTCTTTTTTCCCTTTTTGTTATAATGCTCCTGTCAACAACACAGCTGCTCAAGTACTCAGTGATCACACACCAAAGGAGAAAGCACTGGAAGATACTGATTCTGAGTGTCATTACTTAATACGATTCATATAGATGCGAAATAAGATTCTCAAGGAGCAGTGGTATTGAAGACGAATAGAGATTTCAGCAAATAGTAGAACTAAACTTCTGCATTAAAAAAATAAAACGCATTATCTTTCTTAAGGCTATATTGTTGTGGAGACATCTCGTTAGCATGCAGTATGCTTAACAAACCACAAAGCATGGCAAGTTATTGAATGCTGAGGCTGGAACTCAACCGAACCCACCTTTTTGTTGTTTCGTAACACAGGGCATAGTGAATTTCCTAGTAATCCACGTCCCCACTTCTCCTTCGTCAGGATGATAGAGCCAGATAAAATACGCCTATCTTATTATTCCGTGCTAATCAAGGTTAATTGTAATTGCTTAATGGGTCTATCCAAAATCAAGTTCGCTCCATCCAAACAGAAAAAGAATTGAAGTCGAATTTGGGCGAAGAAAGTGTGCGTTACCGTATCTGTCGCGACAATTTTTGTGTCGTAGGCCTTGAGCTTGTGTGCAATTTCACTTCAAGCTGTACCAACTAGGAACAAGACAATGAAGCATTGTCATGGCATGAAAATGTTGATGTTGGCTTTGTCATTGAATGGAGACAGTGACTCGTACTGATGTACTTTGCATACGTACTGAAGTTTTTTTTCAGTAAATTTTTACTTATTATTTACTGATTTTTTACTTATTATTTACTTAAACAAAAGTAAAACAAAAGTAAATTTTGAGTAAAACAAAAGTAAATTTTCAGTAAATTTCAGTAAAACAAAAGTATATTTCAAGTAAATATCAGTAAAACAAAAGTAAGTAAAAAGTATATTTTCGGTAAATTTCAGTAAGTACTTACTTTTGTTTTACTCAAAATTTACTTTTGTTTTACTCAAAATTTACTTTTGTTTTACTTTTGTTTAAGTAAATAATAAGTAAAAAATCAGTAAATAATAAGTAAAAATTTACTGAAAAAAAACTTCAGTACGTATGCAAAGTACATCAGTACGAGTCACTGAATGGAGACAAAGTTCAACCAACATAAAAGCAGCAAACTTGTTTTTAATCATAAAAAAAGGCAATATCTCCTTCTCCTTCTCCTTCTCCTCTTCCTCTGCCTCCTCATTGCTTCTCACCCGTTTGCTTTCAACGATTTCATCGTCTTCATTACTCCAATTGGTGTTCATCCTTTTTTGTGCCATATTAACAAAGGATAGTCAAAAGAAAAGAAAAAAAAGCTATGCTGAGTCGCAGAAATACTTCCTCAGTTCTCGTGCTTCTCGTTGCTACAGCTTTAGCTTCGACTTCCAATTCCCATTCCAGAGCCTCGTCCGTATTTTCTCAGATTGTGATTAAAGAAGCTCCATCCGGAAATGCTACTGGAGATGCAGACGTCTGCTCAGGGCTACTAGGTCGACAAGAATGTGGATTTGTAGGCATCACCAAGGATGGCTGCATCCAGCGCCAGTGCTGTTGGTCTCCTTCCAAAGCGCCCGTACCCTGGTGCTTTAAGAAGAAGGTAGCTTCATGACTCTGCTTCACCTCTAGTGTCCAGTACTCAGTATCTTTCTGAGAGATTCTAGTCCATATAATGTATAAATACTATGAAAACGAGTCTGATGTTTTATTTTTATGACATGCTTTTTTCAAGGATGTAGACTATGTTAGTACAACAGAGATTGCTGCTCGGCGCGACTGTGGCTACATGGGCATTAATGCTCAGGAATGGTAAACAGAAAAAAAAAAGCTGATAAGAGTATAGTATATCTCTTTATCCTCTCGAATGAACACTGATGAATACCGTATATTACTTACAAATGAGTGATTTGTAGCTATTATCGTGGATGCTGCTGGGACTCGACTGCCAACAATTTGAACGCACCGTTTTGCTTCTTGAAGCAACATGCCTGCAAAGGATATGGTGTTAAGAATGTCCAAGAGTCTGCTCACGGAATCACGTTTGATCTAGAGCTTCTTGGTGCCTGTGTACGCTTTGGAGAAGATGTAACCCTACTAACAGCCATTATTGATTTCGAAACCGAGTCTCGTATTCGTATCAAAATTGTCGACAAAAACTCGAATCGTTATGAGATCCCAAAGGAAGCACTTCCCACTACAGATTCAACCATCCGCCATGTAGGCAAGCGTGGGTATACTTTCAAGTACAATAAGTCTCCTTTCACATTTTCCATCATTCGTAGCCATGATGGTGAAGTGATCTTTGACTCCTCTGTTGCAAATATGGATAATTTAATCTTTGAAAGCGACTACTTGGAAATCTCAACTACACTTCCAGAGGATGCCAATATTTATGGCTTGGGTGAGGTTGTCGCAAGCTTCAGAAGGGACCCAAACGGAACGAGACAGACTATGTGGAACCGGGATGCTGCTACGCCCGTAAACCAAAACGTCTACGGAAGCCATCCATTTCACCTTGAAATGCGCAATGGTAATGCGCATGGTGTTTTCTTGAGGAACAGTAATGGTATGGATGTGATCCTCACGCCCAAAAAGCTCACTTATAAAGCCATTGGAGGTGTGTTAGACTTCACAGTCTTTATGGGGCCTACGCCCATTGATGTGATCAACCAATACACAGAAGTCATTGGACGCCCTCATATGCCCCCCGCGTGGGCTATGGGGTTCCACCAATCTCGATACGGCTATGGCAACATTGAGGATGTTAATCAAGTAGTATCTCGTTATAGGCAAGAGAATCTACCTCTAGACGGCGTGTGGATTGATATTGACTATATGGACTCCTTCAAAGACTTTACTTACGACGAGACAAGGTTCCCCAAGGCCAAAGTCCGTGCACTTGCGCAAGACTTGCAATCCAATAATCAAAGTATGGTCCTAATTATCGATCCTGGCATTCCCATCGCTCCTGGCTATGAACCTTACGATATCGGTATGCGTGATGACGTGTTTATTAAGACCCTGACAGGGAGACCAATCGAAGGGCGTGTATGGCCAGGGCAGACCTACTTTCCTGACTTTTTCAACACCAACGAGACTTGGAGATATTGGCAGGACCAGCTCGCAAAGATACGTCATGATTTAGGCGATAATGTGTATCCGTGGATTGATATGAACGAGCCTAGCAATTTTTGCAATGGCTCATGCACCAAAGATAACTCTACAGCTATTGAGAGAGGCGTTAAATCTCTAGAGCGAGACGGCGCTGCAGGTCTGCCTCTCGCCCTCAAGTACCTGATTAATAATGGTGGATGTCAAGCACCTTTAGACGAGAAAACAATAGCAGGGAATGCGGTGCACAAGAACGGGCTTCGATTGATGGACACACATAACCTTTATGGCCATATGGAAGCAGCTGCAACGCACCATGCACTTCTGCAGATCAAGCCTAATAAGAGGCCTTTCATCTTAACTCGTGCATCTTTCGCAGGCACTGGTAGGGAAGGGACTAACAAACCGTGAGTAGAAAGATGCTTGTACAACTCCAAAGTACTAAAACATTATTCTGCCTCTTCTCCCTTTCGCTCATGACTTTTCAGGAGCTTTTGCCGCTCATTGGACTGGTAAGTAACTATCTAGATGATATAGTTTTCTCAATCTACTTTAGTGTCTCTAACTTCACTTACCTGTTGGGAACTTTCCTGTTTATTTTTATATCGTGCTGGCCCTTCTTAGGCGACAATTGGTCCCAATGGGATCATCTCTACTACTCTATCCCTGGTATTTTATCCTTTGGCCTTTTTGGTATTCCTTTCACGGGCTCTGATATATGCGGGTTCCTTGGCAATGTAACAGACGAGCTTTGTCTCCGTTGGCATCAACTTGGTGCTCTGGCTCCGTTCTCCCGTAACCACAATGACATCCATGCAACTGATCAAGAACCGTTTGTTTGGCCTGATACAGTCCTCCCAGCTACGAGACAAGCACTGCGAATTCGCTATTCTCTGCTTCCATACTACTATACTTTGTTCGAACGAGCCCACCGCACGGGACAACCGCTTTGGCAGCCTCTGTTCTTTAAGTTTTCACAAGATTCAGCGACACTCGATATAGATAAGCAGTTTTTGTTGGGCGATTCAATCATGGTTTCGCCAGTCTTGTCGCAGGGACAGATCCAAGTCGAGGCTTACTTCCCAGGCCATGAACGATGGTTTGATTTCACAACGCATGAATGTGTGATGGATCGAGACCCTAGTAACTCAACCAAACCCGGGGAGGAAAGGCCGCACCGGTATCGTTTCTTGAAAGCTAAAGCTGGAGAGGATCCTGTACCAATGAGCATTCTTGGCGGTAGCATAGTTCCTATTCAGAACCCACAGCTCAATGTTGCAGCCACCCGCTCACAGCCAGTATCATTGATTATAGCACTGGATGAGAAAGGGGGCGCCCATGGGGAGATGTATGTGGATGATGGCGAGTCAGTCCAGAATCAATATGAAGCTAGAGTGACTTTTAAGCTGACTGCCGGCGAACAGCTGGTCAGCCATGTAATTTTAAAATCTCCTTCAATATCTGGTGGAGATTTGAATAATATGACTGCAACACAGATGCAGGACTTTAAAGACAAGATTAATCATGGAGATAAGGTCGAAAAGGTCACTATCCTCGGACTGAACTTTGCGAGCTTCACTGCAGAAAGAAAGGTAGAAGATGGCACCGGCTCGCGCCTTGACATGTATGCTCAAGGAGAAGGCAGTAGGATCCAGGAAAAAGGCCTTACAGTACAAAAGCACACTAAGAAAGGTGACATTATGGCATTCTGGCGTTTGCTGGCGGTTCCTGAACGTGATGGCATGGATGACACTATCACAGAGAACATTAGCTCCAAACAATTTGAACATCGTAGCCGCGGCCAAGGTCGCTTTGCAACCACGACCAAATCGACTATTACTACCACAGACATCCGTGGCAAGAAGGTGGTTGCTGGCACTGCTGCGACGCTATTGGAACTGAACATCAACGGCATAGTGATACCGTTGGGCGATGGTTTGAATGGAGGTTTGAATGGTATTCAAGGTCAGGACCCTGTAACGGGCTGCTCATGGGAGGTAAACCAGGGAGTTAATTCGTTGACACTCACAGGCCTCAAGTTAGATCTCTTTGTAGGATGGTATATTAATTGGAAAATGGCATAGATAGGAGGATATGGTATCAATAGTTTACAGACAACTATACAACCTTCTTTTTATTTGAAGAAACACATTAAATATATATCAATATAACTTTAGTCCCAGTTGGCTCAACTTGTTCTGCATGTCCTTTGGCATAACAGCATATAAGACAAGAGACCCGTCTGTAAGGACTGTGTATTTGTGATTAATGCAGCCACTCGATTTCTCTCTAAGTTCGTCACAGAACCAACTCTATTTCAGAAATGTAATAAATAATAATGAGGTTTGAAAACTCGGTTCTGTAGTGCAACTACTCATCTGAGGCAGTATCTACCTTGAGGGTGATCTCCTCTAAATGTAAGTAAATTCGTAATGGCGATTTACTCTCTGTCCGACCTATGGTCAAAGTATACTTGCGGTCTCCGAGTATGGGGGCTAAATATTTGTGGAAAGGGTATGAAGCAGTGAATAAATGAACACTATCCGACAGCTGCAAGACTAGGGATATGAGGCCCAGCGCTACGCAGTCCTTACCCCGCATCAGCTCTGCACAATGGATGCGGAGCTGGTGCTTACGGCCTGTCTGTGGATATAGCTCAAGCAGAGCCCAGTGTAGATTCTGCTCCACCTTTGATCATTTATACGATATATTTTTTATATACAATGGTTAAAACCTAATTGCTGAGTATGATACCTGGTTGGTACAATATCGCAGACAATAATTTTAAACAAAATAGCGTCGTTATGAGGTTCCTCACCCCGCAGGAGCGTTGATCTAATATCCGAAAGTCAGTTTTTGACGGCCAAGTGGCTGTAATCCTTGGTTTGATATCGCCTTGGTCGTCGATGCTTGAGCGCATATGAATAGTTTGGTTGTTTCCCTGCTCGATTAGGACCATGTCACCTCCCATGGTCATCAGACCGTTTGTGCCGCGCCAGGCACCCATTGATTCTAGGCTTGATAACGTCAGCGGCTGGCGAGACTCAATGATGGCCAAATACTACACATACATTGATAAACAAATTTGAAGGCTCGATACCCTCTTTAGCAAGAAAAAATGATAAAATATAATAAATAAATAAAACCTGTTTGATATAAACCTTTTTCCGGATATTCCACGTGGTGCCTTGACCGCTAGCAGCTTCGAGCCTTGCGCTTCCTTCATGAAAGCGTTTAGCCAGATCCTGTGCCACTCTTCGTGTTCTGGCTAGAACTAAGAGTCCTGAAGTTGTCTTGTCTAGCCTGTGAACAAGTCGTGGCTTCTCAGAGAAGTCATATTGAAGGACTAACTCAGAGGAAAGACAGGATGGATGACTAACTATTTAGAGTCTTTACTCAATCCTATTTTACACGAGCAGTATTTGAACGCAAGAGTTACCTGAAAGGGAGCTGTCAATAGAACTTGCTACCCCTGTCCCTCCTTGTACAGCAATGCCTGCAGGTTTATTTAAAACAATGATTCGTTCGTCCATATATACTATCCAGGCTCGAAGCGGTAAAGCGTCCAATGGTCTCTGTCTTGTTTGTTTATTGACAGCTGAATGAGAAGGATCGATGTCAGCTGGTTCTGAAGCAGACTTTGGAGTAAAATCATTCAAAGCAGCTCTAATGAGCCATATTTGCCCTGTCTCCGTTCTTGTCTTGACAGAAGTAATGGCTTTTGTTTTGATGGAAACATTATTAAAACCCTCTTGATATTCCAATAGCCTGATCTGTCTCTTCCGGAGCCACTTGTAAATCAGACTATGTGGCACCTCGATAGACCCATCATCACCATTTCTTCCGAAGCGGTATTTGAGAAATCGATCCAAACGCATTCCAGATTCATCGTCCGACACTTTCAATTCCTTGATCACAACACGCTTCAGTGACACTGCTGTGGAAGGGGAGGAAGGTGATGGCGATGGCGATGGCAAGCCAGAGGAAGCTTTGGAGCTAACGTAGGCAAGACGATGTAAACTTAGTGGAAACACATCGTTAATCCAGCTCCTCGGCAGCCACAAGAATAAACTAATGGCGACTCTGCATGGCATGTCAAGCAAAAATTGTGTTATGTGAATCTCTCATCCTTCATGCACTTTCCAAAATGCATTTCTATCCAGTCACCAACGGACTAAGAGACGCGACGCGTAAAAGTAAGGTGTACATTTTTTTGACTAGTTAAATCTGCGATTTTCTTTCCTCTTCGTGTTCAGGGACCAAAGTATAATGGTCACTGTCCATCTGGAAGGGATAGACGCACCTATGCGACGCACGTCATTTTGTATTATGAGGACCAGAATCCAGTGAGTACGGATGAGTAACAGGCGTGTAAATACTCACTGAATCTTGTGTGCATAAATATACCTTTAAGTGATCACGTTGTATTTGAACTAAAACTATCCCCAGAGCTTGTCAAACGCGTTGCATAAGCATCTTTATTTCACTACACCTGCTGGTATGGAGGCTGTGTGCGATGTGACTGTGGTTGATGACTCTTTGGTACAAAAGAGTTTTTATGATTATGGTACTGGAAGCATGCGCCAACAATCATCATACCCAGTGTTCCTGCCAGCATTCCATAGACCTTTCCAGTCACCTGATATCCACCAAGTAATGCAGAATGATTTCCAGATAAAAAGGCTGTAAACGCTTCTTGGAAACCTGTATGAATGAAATTATCCAAGCCTACAAAGAATGACCCGGATCCTACAATAGCTGTGCCCAAGATGACGATATGCCTGTCAAGGAAGAAAGTTAAGGCGACACCGACTATGACGCAACAGACGATAAAAACTGTGCGACCTGTGCCATCCGAGATGAGGCCAGAGGATGCCCAGGAGAGGATAAAGATTGCAGAGTAAAACCCAGCCACACCGCCAACTGCAGCAAACCCTATGCGCCAGAAGAACATGAAGATACAACCACCGATCATCCCTACAGCAGCAGAAACACCAACGTAGACCCACTCTGCATTGGGGCCGTAACCTTGTGAGGGCTCTAAATTCTTTAATGCGATCCAAGCAAGCGTGGCTTTTTTTTTTTACAAAAAGAAAAAAAAGTGTTAAAACCATTTGCTTCTCCAGTTCGAGCGACAACTACCTCTCTAACACAACAGATTCTGGCTGGGTTTGAGCATACCAAAGACATAGAATCCGGCAAGAGACAATGTGAGTTTGAAGAACTTGTTTCCAAAGAATGCAAACAGGAAGCCAGCCACCATTAAGACGATGCCGACTATTGTGGAACTAACTGTGATGCGGTACCCATCTATATGAGGGAAGCAAAGACGAAATGAAAGATTAAAAGGCTGTGCTTCTGCACTTTTTTTATGTTTCTTGGCATTTTTCCACACTCTCATCTTAATGGCTGTTTTGGCTATCAATTCTGGTCAGGCAAGTAGTAGCAAAAAAATTAGAAAAGAATAACGGAAATACTTACTGTCAGATTTGCCATCAATATCTGGGATTGTTGCATTAACTGATAATGGGTCTGCATTGACAGTAGATGCAAAAAAGCATACTAAGAAGACAAAAAAGGCCATAGAGCGAACCCAAGGAGTGGATCTCATCATTGTAAGCAAATTAGGATTAATGGGTATGAATGTAAGTAAAGCTACTAATGGGTCCCCCTTTATAGAATTGGAACGATCCTTCTTATTTTTATTTTTTGATATTAATTAAAAGGAATAGGATGAAGGAAAGAAGTAGAGAAGCAAGAGAAGGAAGAATGAGTAGATTGGTTAAAGATTGGAGGATATTTGCTATTTTCTATTTTTTTTCCTCGTGAAGAGCATATTTATGAATAGACATTAGCAGACCGAAAGGGTTTAAGGCTGTTGAGCCCAGCTTTCTTTGGAGCGAAGTCTAGTTGATTAAAGCTTTTTTAATCAATTGCATTTTGTGCAGGATATCTACATGGCTCTTTATAAAAGTTGTATGCGACGGATATTTCCCATGTAATAGAAGTCTAATCTTCCATACCCATCATTCAGAGCATGTTGTTCACTTTGTGCGCGTCAAAAGTGTATGAATGTTAGAAGATGGCTCTCAATTCTAAATGCTACAGAAAATAAATTATGGTCTAAAACTATGGCAATAAACTACATTACACACTAAAAAACAACAAGCACCGCCGCCACATCTTCTACAAATGATACATGCTTCGTGTCTAACATATTTAGCACAAACGCACATTTTGAAACAACCATGGCATAGAAACGCCCTGATGATGTTAATACGCTCCTCCAAATCCTGCCATAAATACACGTAAGGGGGAATGCGACATCCCCTCTGTCTTTTCTTCCAGACACCTTCCATCCACTAATCAATAACTTTTATTTAGAAACCGCTGTAGCTATGCAGGTTTGTATGTGTGTTTTTTTTAGCCGTTCGAGGTCATAATATTACAGCTGGTTTAAATTGCAGATCATATATGTATATATATATAATATACTTTCCTGCTCAAAATGAAAGGAATCGAAAGATGAAAGGTAGTGAAGGAGGGTAAAGACTGACTAGCTTGCATTATAATTGTTAGTCTGCTGTACTTCTCAACGCAACTATTGACGGTATGCAAAAGACAACGCTTTGTTCTGAAAAGTGTGAGCGACTTTAATCCAGATATAAGGTACAGTGTTACATTATCTATATTCATTACCGCCGTAAGTTATGATTGCAACCCCTGTATATTGCCTGTGCTTATAGCCATATTTGAAGCAACACACCGTATCCCCATGAAACTTTACTATCTTATTTTAGTAAGAAATAGGTAACCAAAAGTTGAGTACGTGAGGATATCCATTTTTTGTCAGTAAGAGAATTGATTAACACCGTCCTATGCGGAATAAAGACATGAATATCTATTATCAACGAGTGCGCGTATTGTAGAATATGTAACATGTGCTTTTCATAGCATAGTAGGCTCGTTTAACTTAATAAGTACATTAAATTGCTGCATATCCAAAAAAAAAAAAAAAAAAAGTTTTAGACCAAATTGTTCAACTCAGCATGATTTCTGTCCATCGTTGGATTATTCGGTGAGCATGGAGAGTTTCACATTGTCAAAGTTGGAGAACGTGGATTTCGTGGTAGAACAACCCATAGTGAATCCCATTTAACTAGGATTAATCTATTTGGCAGCCCAGTTGCCAAATAACATTCATTATTTACTTGGCAGCCTATCCAGCGTTATTTGGCCTCTAACTATTTTTTTTTTTTTTTTTTTTCATTCCTAGGAACCGTATATGTTTATAACGCTCATACTTCAAATTAATAAAGCTCCCGTCTTCTACGTCATAGTTATGTGTAGTGACATTGTCTTCAAGTAGGTCGCTCATACAGTTTTGGAGGTGCCATTTGGAGATCAATGCCTATGAGAGGTTTTCGCTCGGAGCAAACGCGTCTCACCTGCTACCTAGACGTCTTCAATAAATCATTCCCTAACCGTGTACATTGAAGGCTGTTTTGTGAAGATGTCATCGCCGCTGCCCTTAGTACCTCCGGCGGCATTAGCTGTGCAAGGTAATGTATCCACAGAACGCTGCTTGTTTTACCACTGATGTTATGACCCTGTTATCAAAAAAAAAAAAAAAAAAAAAAAAGTCTGTATTTGGCAGCCCAGCTGCCACCCAAGAGTGCGAAGTTAAGTGGCAGCCCCCAGAAGTAGGCTGCCAAATAGAGGCAAAAATTACTATATTTGGTATGGGCTGCCAAATAGATTAATCCATTTAACTAAGCTTCCAAATACCATGATTAACATCAGGATTAGGAGGAATTTAATCTTTGTATTTTGCATTTTGAGACTTTCCTTCGGCGACTGCTGCCTATTTTTTTGTCTAAGAACCAAGCATGTTGCTAAAATATCGAAAGGTTCAGAGCTGAAGCTCTATCCAAGCGAAGAGCCTACTTAATGAACTACATTTAATGGCACAAAAACAACAAAATTTTCCGCTCCTGGGTGGGCTTGAACCACCAACCTCCTGATTAACAGTCAGACGCGCTAACCAATTGCGCCACAAGAGCTCCTTAAAGGAGCTGAAAAATCACTATCTTAAGAACTGGGGGTTTATACTGAGATGCCCTTAAAAACCGCAGCGAGACGCAAATACATAGAACACACTGAAGTGTTGTACCAAGATAAAGGTAAAATAGCCCAATGGCTGAGTAGTATACTCGTCAGGGCACCCTCCTGTCTAGCCCAGGGGCCGGGTTCGAGTCCTGGTTAAGGCACATAAAGTGAAGCAAACATGTGCCAGGTCAGGGATTTGCTTGAGTTTTTATACTTTCTCTCCGAGACAGCCTAGTGTTCTCCGCTAAGGCTAAGATCGTGGGTGCACTACCCTAAGTCGCCTGGCTGGCCACACGTCTTAGTTATATATTCCACCCCCCAGCCGAACCAGCGGTACATCTGGCAGCACATCCCCCCATCCACCCACTTGACTAGGACAGCGATGATCACAAAGTTTGACGGAGTCCAAAGTAGAAATTTCAGACCAATTCCGCAAGATTTGGGTCCACATGCCAGTGGATTTGATCGAATAGAAAAAAAATTAAAAGTCGTCCTTAGCTAGAGTCGGCACGCCAGCCTCCGCGGCTTTTCACGGGCGCAACAGGCCACATCGGAAGGATGGACTTCGAGTACCGATCACGGTGTACATTGGTAGAGAAAAACATGGATACGAATTGGCTCTTCACAGCCATCCCGTGCGAACTTTGAGAGTTTCGCTTGTTTCATAGTTGAGGGCGATATCATTACTTTAGAGCGAGATTATGAAATAAAATTCCTCACCTGTGTGGGTTCTTGTTAACACGAAAAAAGGGTCCCCAGGAGAACAAGGAATCTACTCAACATGACCCTGAGGGTCCTTGTTATCAAAAAAAAAAAAAAAAAAAAAAAAAGGAATCTACTCAATGCTGACGTGATTTATGAACAGGATGTTGTACTGTGCCAGTACAGCGTTGCGGCTTCGGTCAATTATTGGATACTGCTTTATTTGCGATCCCAGTAATGGGGCAGCCCATTTGTAGAGTTAACACCTTAAAAAATTCTACATGACCTCGTGAATCCTCGTTATCAAAAAAGAAAAAAAAAAAAAAAAGCTGCATGGTATGCTGCCTATCCTAAATGCCATGCAAGCTAGACAACCTCTTCTTTATCCAGATCGAGTTTGCTGTGTCTGTGAGGCTGAAGGCGAAGATAACAGCCATGTATGGGCTTGTAGAGCCCTTGGTGAGATCTACAGTAACATTTAGGGAACGATTCCTTTCCTGTAACAGTATGTTTTCGAGGCTAAACACAGTGATGAGCTGTGGCAATAGCCGCGCGGCACCCGAAGGGCTTACCGAAGGAACGTAACTAGACTTATGGCGACTGTAAAGTGACCTTCTTCGGAGGATGGGGCACCAAGTACACTCTGGGCTAGATAGTTCTTCAGTTTTATAGCGCTGTTCGTTTAGAGAGACAACTTGTTATAAAAAAAATCTAATCATACCTTTTTCGTGGTCATAAGAGCGTGTACCATACACTGATAATAAATCCTATGCGGTAAGCGGCGGTTAAACCGTGAGAAGGTTGTGAACGTTACTAGACTAAAAGTGGTTTACTTTGGTAGATGGGGCATCGGGCATACTTTGGACTAGATAATTGTTTGGCTAGAGACATGTCGCTATAAAAATATAACAAGGTTCCTTAACCTAGCCTTCTGGTAAAGCTTCCATGATTTTGGATACAGCGACCCAGCCGTTTGTGCAGTAAGGTATTTATTCTCTATAGTTTCTGAGGATTTTTTGTTAATAGAGTGTAGAAATAGATCCCATTACTCTAATGGTTCTTTTTTAAAAAAAAAAAAAAAAAAAAAAAAGAAAAAAGTTAAGCTTCCATGATTTACCGCCAAGAGGCTGCTGCTGGCCAGTACTTAGGAACCGCTATCGAGCATTATTATAGGCATGGCCCTCCAAGTTGCAAGTCTCGCTTTGGTACTTAGCCACTATGTCAGAGTATCCAGCTTTGTGCTACGCCTGAATTTCGACAATTTAAGGTTCTGTTGCGCCATCATTTTGATTTTTTTTAAGTCTATAAAAGCATAGACTTGATAACACTTACTGGTGGGCGAATTCGCTGGAAGTTAATCATGTGAATAAACAGAATTGCATAAAGTTGGATGTATGCATTAAGTTCTCAGTCTTTTTTTTATTTTTATTTTTTTTAAACGATTGCTAAAAGACTCATAAAATATGAAAAATGGTGGCTAATTTGCAAGGGATCTAGGGCCATGAAGTGGACGCCACTCATAGTGAGTATCCGCCACAGCTTAACAAGCCGTTTTTACACCATTTGATTGCTGGACTGATGTCTGCTTTTGTCTCCACAGAACCAGGCGAGCTATTGTCGAGCGCGTGTCAGATAGTCAGATATATGATTTTTGACTATTGTATCATGACATAATGGTCCATCGATTGATCAGACTCATTGAGTTTCTATGAGAAGGGTGATGGTTGTTATCTGTGGGTTCATCATGGTATCTTACTCTACAATTCACGATTCCAATCATATCATAGGGTTTGCACTAGGGACCAAAATCAATTCAAGTTAAGGAGAGCTTATGTTCGGATGATTCATTTACAATCGCTTTAACCTGTATCGCTGTCATCAGAAGAGCTTAATCCGACCAGCTCGCATACCAGGCTCTACATGTACAAAAACGGAGTCTCATTTCCATACAACTATAGTTCGCATGAACCAATCATCCAATTATACTTGGCTATATTCTTTGATTCTCTTTGTAGGGATGAATTTAAATATGCCAATGTTGTCTTCTATATCCTGGCATTGCGATAAAAGGTCGCTGAAAAAATATGATTGAGACACGCCATTGAATATGCTTACCAGGGATAATTTCATTGTGCAGCACAATCTATTCTGATCTAGTCAATAAAGGAGGTCAGATTGTCCTTTGCCTCATCATGATTGTGGAGGTTGCAACGAGTAGACTAGAGGTTGACGACATGCAAAGGTGGTGATGTTTGCAAACATGGTCTCAAACTTTTTTTTTTTACTAATTTTAAGCTGACACGCGTATAACAACACCAGTCTTACCAAAAAAAAAAAAAAAAAAAAAAAAAAAAAAAATTGTTGGTGAAAGAGAGTTGTACCATAGCTCAATTGGTTCAGTAGAACGATGAAAGTATATAGATATTATACATGGATGGTGCAGCATTGTTGAGCAAAGACACATTCACACACTTTTTATTGTCTTATCCGACGGCCTGGGTATCTAACTTAATTTCCAATGAGAAATCGAGAAAAAAGTCAGCAGCGGGCTCATTTCATTTAATGGAACCATGGTGTGGTGCCCATACATATACTTCAAACCTTATTGCTGTGTGGGTCACTGCTTTGCGCCGTGGTTCGATTTTTATTTTTTTATTTTATTTTGACAATGTATATATATATATATATGTACACTTTCTACGTTTGAGACGCGGTTGAAGCGGTTGCCTTTGATTTGTAGAGAAGACGATTTGTTCCCAACTATGGTTCTTGGTGCTCATTGTCTCCACGATCAGGAAGGTTCATGCAGAAATTTATGTTGACGACAATAAAGTGTCATTTTAAAATATTTGCTGCATCATTATGATTCGCCATTATCATTCCAGCCATGACAATGAGCTGCATATGAAAAAACCAAGGATGTAATTTTTTATTTTGCATGAACACTAACTACAGGCTTTCTTAGAAAAGGGAAAAAAAAAAAAAAATAGATTCACCATCCTCCACGGTCAGTGCGTCTTATGCAATGCCAGCAGTTTCTTGGCAGTCATAACGTTTTTATTGAATTTTATTTTACTTTTCCGGTCTTTCTGTGATGTGTGTGATACGTGGATGGGCAAAAAGAGAAGTACAAACAACAAGGGTTCGGTTGGAGGGGCTGTTGGTTGAACAGCCACCAACCAAAGTGTATATTTAAATCAAAATAGATTCTTGGTATTTGGTGATTTAGTTTGGATAAAAATAAATCATCTGCGGCGTACACAACAAAAACTTTAAATAAATCCCTTTTTGTGATAGTTTATCCTACACCGCCTTGGCTTGCGATGCAATGCATACTTAAATTATGTACAAACCAGTATATATATCGCTGCATGTGTATATTATTTATTTGCTTGGTTTTTTTGGTTTTTTTGTTTTGTTTTTTTTTTTTTTGCTCTCATTTCTCATTTCTCAACATTTGCTCTTTTTGCTTTACTTGCCTGCTTGTCTCTTCAAGGCTTCACGCTTGAACTTTTTTAACTTTGAAAGTGAGCACCCCTCCATCGATTCAATCAGTGCCACATTCACGTTCACATTCACATTTGCCTTTCATTCAATTCTCATTCTCATTCTCATTCTCATATTCTCATTCTCTCTTCTCTTTTTCTTTTCTTTTCTTCTTTTCTTTACGGTCCTCCCTTCCTTTTCTCCTCCCTTATACCAGGGCTTCCCCCTTTCTTTCTTTTTTTTTTTTTTTTTTATTCTTTTTTCTTTTTTTAATCTGTATTAGTTCTTTTTTATTCTGTTCTGACTATAGAAACGACATTCTCACTCCTCTCTTACGACTCAGACATACATTCTTTCATTCTTAATCTCTGCATCTTTCTCTTTATCCTTTTTTTTTTTTTTTTGTTACGACTTCATACATCTTTAATTCATCTCTTCATATCCCTAGTCAGAACAAAATACCATCACTCAAAAGCAACGAAATACGAAGCACCGGCAGATAATTCCCTAATATTAGTATAATATAATACGCACAGATGATTAACATGGCATCCTCACTACATAATGCTCTCTGCTGTTGGGCATCTTCACAACAGAGTCCTGTTGATGACCCACCCACATCCCCAGACACGCCATGCAGCGCTCACCCCACAGTATGCACCTGTGCTAGCAGTAACACCATTAGTAATGAAAAAGGGAATAACGTCAACAGCTGCAAAGAATACCCTGCGCCTTTCTTTGTAGCAACAGTCCAGCCTCATAACCACTGCTGCCACACTCGACAACGTAAGTCAAACATTTCAAACAATCACCCTTTGTGTGGGGCTTTATTTAAAAATACAAAACGCTTGACCACATTAATACATAATGCTCAGAGCTGAAAAAAAAAAATAAAAAAAAAAAAAAAAAAAAAAAATCAAGACAATGAGCACATCCATCTCCAACGAAAGCCAGTGGGCAGTGGCTCAGTATCTGATTTTGGAGAGTGTCTAACAATAGACATCAGATTGAGAATGCAAAAATGCCAATTGATTTGACACCTCTCTTCGCCACCTATTCCTCTCCTGCCATTGATTATATGGAATGAATATTCATCAGAATCTATTATGATTCACTTGGATGCATGGAATCTTTTTTTTTTTTTTTTATATATCCTTCTTTTTTCTTTCTTTCCTTGTATACATCTACTCGGATAATCTGAGTATATATTTGAGTATGAATGACAAACTAATCTTCTGCTTCTCTCTTTTTCTATTTTGACAAATTAATTTTCCCGCCTAAAAAAAAAAAAAAAACCTGTTAATTCATATTCCGCTTGAACCTTGCCTTTACTTTGCATGCAATACTTTGCTTATTATGTTTGTTGCTTGCACTGATCCAAATGCATGTCTGTCCTTGCATGCAGCCCATGCATCTGACGAAAAGCATCACTCTCGTTTCCGTTCCTCGCGTTGTGGCAAGACTGATAGGAAGAGGATGTTTTCTGCTGTGCCTGGCTTGACTGCACCTGCTCGTACATGGCCTCGTTCTGGTCATATCAAGGAGATGCTTGCCAAGAAGACCATGGCTCCCTCTGCTCTGGACGTAATTTCACCTTACCCTCCATCTTCATACAACCATCATTACAATCACTACACATCACCCGGAAAGTCGCCCTCAAAGCGATTCTCTCTACAAAAGTATTACTATGGTAGGAATACCATGATCGCTTCTACTGCTAGGATGACATTTTCGAGAACACCCTCTCCTACTCCCCCTCCTTTCCCTGTCTCTATGCCATCAACAGCATCACCAGTATCATCACCATCACCATCATCCTCGCCATCGTCGTCACCATCATCGTCACCATCATCGTCACCATCGCCACCATCGTCACCATTGTCATTGTCTTCACCCATATTATTGCCTTCATCATTGTCACCATTAATGTCGCATTTCAACCCAGAAACTTTATTGCAGTCTTCTTCACTATCCTCTCCACACGTTTCCGTGCCCGTTTCACCATTCACGTCCGCATCCACCACGATCCTAGAGAACACTGCATCTAAATCAGGATGGGAGGGAATCTTTGCGACATCAGCCACACCGTCTACCCTTTCACCTTTGCATCAACAAGGATCTAATGCGGGTTCATTATCGATCCTTACGCAAAGTAACCTTCTCCAGAAACGCGACAGCACCACCACCACAGACTACCATACTATTGATACCCCTGCCCCTCTACTCTCTTCATCCGAACAGGCTGGCATCACAAAGATTGCGAAAGGGTCGCCACCCAGACTGATGACAATCATGGCTACCCCCACAACTTCCGCATCCCCTGCATTGCCTCAACCATACTGCTTTAATGATAGTGGTGTTATTTCCTCGCCTCCAAGATCGGATGCGGTGCCTTTTCCAGCCTCCAGCATCTCACCAGCAGAACTGGCACGGCTTGTGGAGCAGTCCAATCAAGGCTTTGCCTGTGCTGGCTCACGGTGGCCCTTGATTTTGGACCTTAGGCCTCACCCAGACTTTTATCCTGTTTCTATTCAACATTCCATTAACATTAATCTCCCTACTTTGCTAATGAGAAGGTACAGACGTGGAGGCGCCATCTCATCGTTTGCACTAGAGTCTTTTATCACCATGCCTGCAGACAAAGACGTTTATGAGCAAATTCAAGGAAGCTGGCGTGCAGACGATTTGTCATCATCTGAGCCTCACGATGTTGTTGTGTTGGACCAGGAGATGAAGGCGGGCGACGAGGCATACGGTCGATCTGCGACTGCTGCATGGACATTACTGAATGTGTTGGAGCGTGGTGGAGCAAACAACTGTTTCGGTGAAGTACCAATACGTCTTTGGTACCTCGAGGGCGGGTTTGATGCGTTCCAAGCATGGGATGCAAGTGAAAAGTATCTGGTACGCCCGGAATCGAGCATGTTCCCATCCCGTCCAAACCTAAACTACGAGAATAGCCAAGACGTAGAGATGAGCTTGGCAGCACCTGCTACAAAGCCTTCACTGTCCATCGATACGTCTGTTTCGTTTGCACCGAAGAAACCGCAAGCGCGCCGAGAGAGCTTGTTTTCCCTCAATACAAAGTCATTGCAGCGCCCAGCAAGCGCCTTGCAGCCTTTAGTTATCCCAAATGCCAACAATACTCTGACTGATGATCAGCATCAGCAGCAACAGTGTTCAAAGGGAGGCTGGCTCACAGTCCCAACGACTATCCCATCTTGTGCTCCTTCACCTACCATGTCCATGGTTAGCAACCATTCGATGGAGATGTCACACTCTGCCTCTACAGAACATAGCGCTGACTGGTCAGCCGGCTCTAGCGCAATTAATGGTTCCGGCCACTTTTCACAGTCGATTCCTGGCTTCAATCTGACATTAAACACAAAACGCTCGGTTCCTTCACTGGCAACACTCAACTTGACCGGTATCCGTGAAGACAATCAAGAGCAATCCCAGGCTGAAGGCTTGTCAAGTTCATTGTCTATGCCTCGAGGAAGGTGTATAGAACAGGACGATGAAGACTTGGATAATGGAGAGCAAGAAATCTCATGTATCTTACCAAATTTTTTGTACCTTGGACCCGAAATTCTTCACCAGTCGCAAGTGGATGAATTGGACCGATTGGGTGTGAAGCGTGTACTAAATATGGCTACTGAATGCGAGGATCAACTGGTTGCTAACCGAGAAGGGATGGAGTATCACAAGATTGGGGTCTATGACCATATTGATGCGGATGTTAGTGCAGGACTCATGCAAGCTGTTGATATCATTGGTAAGCATATTGTTTTTTGTTTTTTATATTTATATTATTTATACCAATGCGTTCATTGTATTAATATTACTCTATTTGTATTTGCTTTATCCAATATAGCTTCCTCAGCAGACGCGCCTATTTATGTACATTGCAAGGCTGGCAAGTCGCGATCAGTAACGGCGACTATTGCCTACCTGATCACACAGCTGCACTGGCCCCTGAATAAGGCATACCAACATGTTTTGGCTCGTCGTCCATGCATGTGTCCCAACATAGGATTCGTTACAGAGTTAATGCGTATTGAAGAACGGACCCTTGGAGCTGACAAGGCCACTGGATTATATGGAAAATGAAAACTTTCATCTCTGAATTTGTCTCATGATTTTATGAAACTCAACACTGCGCCACAGCAAAAAAAAAAAAAAAAAAAAACCGCCAAGTATATGACATTATGAATATGAACACAAGGCACTCTTTAATCGATATCAGCAAAGAAACAAAAGAAAATTGATGACTACATCCGACGATCATGATTGTTTTTAATCCCTAGCGCACGGCAGCAGATATATAAAAAAAAGACATGAACAAACACTAGATAGCACAATAGAACAATAATAACTAATGATGTACGAGTATAATGATGGTTAATTATCATAATAAACTATTCAAAAAAAAAAAGCACGTGCCATGCAGAATAAGGTTTTTTCATAAAAGGGGTTGCCAAGGTGCCCACAAGGTCAGTAAACTGTAGTGTGACAAAAGTAGGGAAAGGGGAGTTGAAGCCTTGTTTGCATGAATGCAGCTTTTCTCTTTGTCATTCATTTCATTCACATTTTAATTGTTATTGTCTTTTTTTTTTTTTAACGAGTTTACCTCTATATTTCATCAAGTACCAGCCGACTACCATGTTGCTAAGGAAACACATTTATACAGGCAAGTTTGGTTCGGGTTCATTTTTCCTTTAAGGAATCTATGCTTGGGAAATAACTAAAGCATCCCGGATCCCGGATCCCTGTTCACGCTTTAGATGTTCAACCAGGATCATGGGAGCAAGCTGCTACTGCCAATATCAACGTCGAGAGCACAAAGTACTCCAAAGTCCGAGTTGTTCAAAATATACCCAACGGCCTCACTCAGGACCCGAGCCAGCACCACGACCAAGGCGAGCAGAGCAGTTATTCCCAACAGCCATTGGCACCATCAATGGTTCAGCACCATCACTCAGTATCTGATTCTGCAACTAGAAAACAGCCCTTATCTATCGTATCAGAGCGAGTATCAGAAGTTGCTAACTCTTCACTTCACGCATTAAAGTCCAAAGCCTCTGTTTCCTCCATCTCTTCAGTATCATCGATAGGCTCCAATATAACAGCACAGACGTTCATGTCCACACAATCCTTCGTCACTGTTACAGAGGAACACATGCGGTCTACGACGCAGGAGTCAACATCTGGTTTATCTGTAGCTTCAGGTCCTCGAATTAGAGGCATTGCTGCTGACGATGAAGAGAACCCTGAAGAGAGTCAAATAGATGAACAGGTTGACCTTAGGTCCTTAGACGTGGTTATCTTGACGCCTGGGCGAAGCGCCGATATTGATCCATTCGATTCACTATATGAACATGGACAGTCACAGGCACATCACAGATATAATGATGTATACGCGAGGGACCCAAGCCTAAACAACCACCGGCTCATAGCTAGCTCCGGAGGTCACGCTAGGTATCATAGTCAGATGAGCAGTGGCGCTACAACTATCAAAGAGAGACATTCAGCCGAAACATCAGCTGCACATCTTTCTTCACTCCCTACATCATCTACCTCGGTCAGGTCATACCAGACACAGTCGCCAAGCCAAGACTATCGTATTAATGGAGATGAATCAACAGAAGACATGATGTTTGCGTCACCAGGCTATCGAAAGAGCATAGCATCGAGTGAACACAGCGAGGTGGCATTAGATATTGCAAGTCCATCATCAAGAGGATCATCTGCTTACATATCGGACAAAAATCCAAGGTATACAAACCTTCTTCGAGACGCGACACTAGTTATCGGGCAGCAGCAGCAGTTCCAAGGTGATAGGGCTGAGAATACTGAGAATTTGGGTCCAAACATGCACAGCTCAAGCAGCAAGGATAACCATTCTGATTACGACATCGGGCTTAGTTTGGCCTCAATGGAACTCAATATTGCGCCAAAAACTGCGGAGGCTCCGGTAACTGCTCCAACGGCTGAAAAAAACCCTGCTTCAAGCGGGAGGAACACACTAGTCCGTTCACGCTCTCGTCGGTTTTCTGCCCCAGATTCTAGCTATACATCCTTATCAGCGCCTTCGATATCAATTGGGTCTATGATGGAGGGTACGGTCCCACCGATTCAGGAGGCTAATCCGAGGGCGCCACAGACTTTTGCAGGATGGATTCAATCAATACAGGGCGGGCCTGAGGACACTGATGGCCGTTTATATCTACCAGGAGTACAACCAATCTTTCAACTTCAAGAGTCTAAATGTAATCTTGGACTGCCTCTTTTGCAGCACCATCCCACAATGCAGTCGTCCTTTCCTACAGCTGCTAATGAGGGTTCTATATCCGGCCCATCATTCAATCCATCATCATCAGCTTTCCAAAACCAAGCGCATTACCGACGCGATTATCGGCCGGGTGTTGTCTTTGAATACTATGAAGGCGAGTGGGACTGGCTACCAAACTTTGACGAGATGCGGCCTGATAATGTGGGGATTGTAGGCAACTTTATGATCGATGAGACTACGGAGCAAGACCTTTTTAGGCCACAGTATACACAACAAATTAGACGGCGATACAAAGAATCTGGAAACTTTGCAGTCCGATTTACAACTCATATTGATATCACTCAGGACGGAGTTTATTCGTTTTGGTTAACATCAAATGATGGATCTGCCATGTATGTGGCCAACACTTTGGTGGTCGAGAATGATGGTATGCATTATGCAACTGAAACGGAAGGGCGTATCATGCTGCAGGCTGGGAAACATCCAATGACAGTCGAGTTTTTTCACAAAAATGGAAAAATGCTCGAAGGATTTCGATCCACAGGTCCATCATTGGTGGTGAGCTACCGTGCACCTGGACCTATCTGGTCATTTGGGCTGAAGGCTGGGCCCAAAAAGATCATTCAATCGTCTAATTTGTTTTACGATCATGGAGGTGAGTTCCAACTTTTTTTTTTTTTTTTTTTTTTTGACCCAATTTGACTGACCAAAGGTCTAGTTTAGAAAAATATGGTTTGAGGTTTTTATGCTAATCTTTTTTTACTAATAACATTTCCACTGTCTCATGGTTAGATATTCGGTTAAAGAACCTGCTACGGGAGTTTGGTGTGGAGGAAGACAGATCTATCACTAATACTGATGTCGCTTTGGATGTGGACGATCGCATGATCGCAGGAGGCCCAAGGGCTCACTGGCCGCAAGGGTCGAGTAGTCATCACCATAGCTCAAGGCCAAGCCGACACAGGATCCTGAGTGGGGATATGGGTGCTATGCAACCATCGAACCGTGAGTTACATGTACAAATGGAGAACGCAAAAACGACTATTAAAGATCTAGAACAGGTACTACAACTTTATTTTATTTTATTTTATTTTTTTTTTTGAGACAAACGTTCATATAGCACACACCCTTTTTTTCTAAATATTTTTTTTTTCCATTGTGTCACCATGTGTCCTTATTCTACTTTCTGGTTAGATCATACGCGACCAGGCAGAGTCACATAAAAAGAAGATGGCAGAGCTGTACAACATTCTCCAGGAAACGCAAGCGCAGGTTGATCGTTTAGTTACAGGGCTCAAGAAGGCAACTCTATTTGAGACTCCACAAGCAACTATCCCAGCAAGCCATATTCATAGTCATGGTAATATCAAGAACCCGACATGGCGGAGCTCTGTTATCTCGGTTTATGTAGATGCAGAAGAAGACTATCAGTCACAGGAGCCTATAGAAAGCGCAGGTGGAGAAGATACTTCCAATAACGAGGTATGCTTTGATCCGATGCTTCAGTATGAATTATTCTGATTTTTTTTTTTCTCATCAATAATGCAAAGGATATAGACCGTTACTAAAGTTATTAATTATTGGGGTCATTTGATGGTTAGAATGAAACGGATAGTGATGGTATACTCACTAAGCATATTGCCGATGTGGAGAGACTTAAGCAGGTAAAGGCTCAACAATTATTGCATATCAAAGTTTTTTTTATATAGGAATCAATTCTAATCTTTTTTTTTTTTTTTTTTTTTTTTCCTATTGAAAATAGCTGTATTTTTTTTCAATGGCATTGTCAGTCAAGATGAACAGCGAAATGATGGGCAAGAAGACGCCAGAGTATATATCGATGAGCGTTCAGAAGCTGTATGAAGACTGCACAGTACATTCGAAGATCCCAGTAGAACGATGGCCTGGCTTTGTCAGTCGATATTTTGCTAGACGACCGACTGCATGATTTTCTTTTTTCGTTGTAGAGAGTGGGACTTATCTTAGAACATGTATACATATATATATATATATAATAAATAGCAATAATGAAATATACTTTTCTCATCGTAATAGGACCATATATTAACCTAAAAAGTATTATTATTCATGCTGAGGTATCCTTTAATTAAATTACTCGAAAACAGACTACCGATAACTATACATATATATTAATCTTTTAGACAGTTGCTGCCTGTGTGCGTGGCTGGGATCTCCGGAAGACCCTGACGGGCAAGCCCTCGAGCATGGGGAAGCTGAGAGATGTGGAATAGGCGGGTTCTTTTGTAGGATCCACTAATTCGAATTCAAAGTTCTGGAACAACATTCCGATTAACGTTAATGCCTGGACAGTTGCGAACTGTTGACCGAGACAGACGCGAGGTCCAACATGGAAGGCATTAAACTTTGCTTGTGAGGGCTTCTCGGCATTGATCCAGCGGGAAGGCTTGTATTCCAAGGCATCAGGGCCCCAGATACGTTCGCTTCGACCCATTACATAAGAACTCCAGGTAACACGCTCGCCCTTGTAGATTTTGGTTCCGTCTGGCAAGACATCATCCTTAACACACATTCTTTGATTGCGGGGTGCAGCAGGGAAGAGACGTAGTGCTACGTTTGGATAGAAAAAAAAAAAAAAGTTAGGTTACAAGTATCAAAACAGTTTTTCATTTGGGAATAAATAACATCTTGTAAGATCAATGTTCATTTTTTTTTTTTTTTTTTTTTTTTTTTAAACATACATTCATGGAAGCTAAAGGTTAGCATGAGCGAGTCCCAAAATACAGAAGAAATAGAAAAAAGGAGAAAGCAAACCGGAAGGATAATGTTATGTTAATTCCATAGTTGTCTTCACCATGTACAAGCAGGCTCTATGGGAACAGACATTAATGATGAGAGAGGATTGAACAATACCATGCTTCTGCGAACTTCTGCCTCTTATATGTCTCGTATGTAGGGTCCTGTCCTCCAAGGACATCGTCCGCCTCAGCTGCAAGTCCCTTGGCAATCGTTTTATCCGTACCATCGCGATGAAGAAGGTAAAACATCCATGCAAGTGCCTGAGCAGTAGTATCGCGTCCTGCAAGCTAGCATTTTTTTTTTTGTTTTTAAAAGGGAAAAAAGAAAGTTTAGACTAAGCCAACTTAAAAAGCTCGGTAGAGATCACTAAGAGCGTTAGGAGTAAGAAGAAGGGGTCTAAAATAGCATATTGTTCGCTTACTGTAAAGTTAAGGAAGATGTCAACAATATAATCATCCGAAATAGGCTGTCCATTTTCATCTTTGGCCTCCATACACAGCTGGAGGAGATCCCTATTCTGTCTGCGATGACCCTCTTCTCTGCGCTTCTGGATGAATTTGAGCGCATGTTTATACATGTATTCTTGATGTTCCTTAGCTCTCTTTCCCGTGCTTGTGACCCGCTCACGGATCTTCCAGAGAGGATCAATGAGGCGTTTAGTCACAATTTGTAGTAGGTCGTCAAAGGCGAAAGCAAATGGTACTTCTACCCCCAAGTCATCGAGGCATCCAAAGCTTTCTCCAAATGAGATTCTATTAACATGAGGAAGAGGGAAGAGAGCGAAGCCAAGATATTAAAAAAAAAAAAAAAAAAAAAAAAAAAAAGTTAATTTGATTGCTCCTATAGGGTCAGCAGAGAGCGAACGTTCTCCAAACAGAAACTTAAGTCTGAAAAAAAATCAGGTTCGTACGTTCCAAAGCTATCGAGTGTAAAGCGATGCATCAAGTCGTGGAAATCGATGGGTGTGCCTTGATCAGCAGCTCTGCCAAGATGTTCGAGTACTTTTTTACCCTCGACGACGAAGACATCACTTGTGTACTCGCGGAAGGCTCTGACGCTAAAGATGTTACTTGCAAGCTTGCGCTGAAATCTCCATTCATGTCCGTCAGCGCTAAAGATTCCTGATAGAAAAAAAGAAGAGGAAATAGGAGAAACAAATGAGTGAGAACACTTGTTGGGTTGGGATCTAGAGAGTCAATCTTATTCAAAACAAAATAAAGGATGAAAGAGTATGTGCTGTACCATCGCCAAAGAGGATACCCATGACATCTTTAAAGATCGGGCCTTTCTCATAATTCCAAAAGTTGACTTTATGAACATGTTCAATATTCTCGGGCGTATCAATCTGAACCATACGAACACCAGGAAGCGAAAGGGACCAGACAGGGCCGAGTTCAACGTGCAATTTTAGAAAGAATTGATACAGTTGTGTGGGAGGAACAGAGGAAATTAATGGCATGTGTCCCAAAAGAGGGACAGCGCCTTTGGGTTGCTTGAGATCAGAACGGCGATTTGTCCCCAGGGCATGGCCACGATACTTGTAGATATAGTAGGTCATGAAGGCCAGAACCAACTTGAAGCCGTTTTTGCGTGTGGCATGCATGAGCACATAACGAAACAGGGGAGTCAGGGCTGACATGTCGTACAGATAGAAATGAAAAAGAATGAGAGAGGAGAGGATTTGGTCTGCCAATCAATTAGAGGAGAGAGTGAAGGGTTCGGTACAAAAGGAAAAAAAAAAAAAAAAAAAAAAAAAAAGATATGAGCATAGGTTCTTTAAGAGAGGGAGAGGAGCGGAAAAACTGTGACTATGCATACTGAATAAAACAGGTTTGAAAAGCAAAGAACCGAAAAAAGGAAAGAAAAAAGGCCGATCGAGATCTCGAATTACATGCATTCTGCAAATATACTGAACACAAGAAAAAAGATATGCAGGAGTGCAGATCCAAGGAAGATCTACAGTACGCTAAAACCTTGTTTACTCCATGTACGGCGGCGTTATTGGGTCTAGCCTCTGCTCATATGACGGATCGTTTTCTAATTACAGTCAAGGTTTTTTAATCTTGAAATATCGTACATACATGGTTCATCTCAAGTCGCCAGAGTCGTGGCATCCTCTTGACTTGCATAAAAACCTCTCACTTTAACCGTCTTGAGATTCAATCCTCACAGACTGCGCTCCAAGTCCAGACGCCAATGACATTATGATAGTCGACTTCGACAGAGTTTTCCTCATCTTCGTCTTGATTTTTTTTTTTCTTCTTGATTGACATGGCCAATTCCTAGATCAGGGTTGATCAGCGTCTCCAAATCCCCAGAAATGGCCAAAGAGCTCGAGTGCAATCAAATTTATTTAATCCTCTTGATATTGATTGTTCACTTTGACATGCTTGAGTTTACAACAATTCCGAAGTATATTGGACACCTGCAAAGGGATTTAGTACGCTCGACGCATGGGTATAAATGTCGGTATTAATTACTCCAAGTATAGATCCTGTACAGGCTAACAAAGCCGGGTAGAACTCACTAAACTATTCAGCATTAGCGCTGAATGTTTAGATGCTATTTCCCTTCCCATTTTCTTCTCTCTCTGAGCTTATCTCTTTTTCGGACTTTGGTGGACCTAAAAAATTGAGGGCCCAAAATTCTCTACCATTGAGGGCCATATTCTCGGTTACCACCGTCTTCAGGCGGGTAGAGGACAAGGGATTGCAGTTTAGGGCAATAGCAGTAAAACTAGACAGCTTGACTTTTACGAACACCATACTTGAGTCAAGGTTCCAAGATTTCTAGATGGAGTAGGCTAGGACAGCAAGCGACTATATCCATAAGAGCTTCACTTTGTTGATACCAAGCGCGGCTTCTTGATGCTAGAGAGAAGAAAAGGTGGTAGAGATAAGGGTTGTTTCGATTTGTTGTGAAATGTGGGTAACAACAAGTCAGATGTGGATGTGGATGGTATGCCCAGAAACTATTAATCCTTGTGAGCGACAGTTCAGATACAGTTGGTTGTGAAACTGAGTTAGAGAATAAACAACTGAGATGGGTTTGAAATAAACCTATTTTAAGCGATAGTTGAGCGAGTCGTTGATGGAAATTGTATAGTTTTGGCGGCCGTGGTGACTGCTGACTCTTGGATTATTGAAAGGCAGCCCAAGGCTACAAATAGGTCCAGGTTTGAGGTGCGACCTTCAAGGTGCCTACCGACCCAGTGAGTGTTAATATTGTAAGGCATGTATTCTGGACCAAGTTGAAGCAAAGCGCGTTATCAAGGGACGTCTTCAGTGTTTTTTTTACTAAGGTACAGTGGATCTCACGATCAGCGATTGTATTGAAGTAATGGTATATCCGACATGCTAGGACAATCGTGTTTAGCCTAAAGGGCTGGAAGAATAGCCGTGCGTCATGTCTTGGATACTTAGCACAGAGAGAGCAGTAGCTCTTATTGTTTCCACTCGGCGTTTTCGGCACAAGGTTGTACAAAAGGACCGAGCGTTGCCACGATCTCGAATACTCCAAGCGGATGGGTTGACTGGACATTACAACCGAGATGAAAAAAAAAAAAAAAAAAAAAAAAAAAAAAAAAGTTGCATGGGTAAGGGCGAGGTACCTTTGTCACGCTGCACACGCTTTGACCCTCCCACATGAGGACATCACCCACAACTCCACATGAATATTGATCTTTAAGACAGTTTCGAAGATTCTTTTGCCAACAGAGCTTTCTAATCAATCATATAGCAATCATCATTTGTTGACATTCAAAAACAGGGGCGGCAACTTTATATTTACAGGGGATTTAGGCGCTCCCTTGGCGAAGCATCTCATGATTGTTTTGGCACATGGAACAAATTTTCGAGGGGTAAATTTGCCACCATGTATTTTAAATCTACACGGTTCACCAAGCCAGTTAAGCTCACTGATGAACGCCTTTGTGAGGTGCTTCCAAATGCAATGAATGCGTAGAATGACCACGCATCATCCTATGTGAATTTAAACCTATTCGATTTTCAAGGCCATGTCTTTGAGGTCAGGGGTAAATATGCCGCATTATAATGTAAAAACATTAATTCATGTCAATTTAATACATTTCTTTTATTAATAGCAGTCAGCACAGTTGCGCAGTCCGACCCTCAACATCAACTCTCAAAAGATCAAAAAAAAAAAAAAAAAAAAAGAAAAGAAAAAGGTTATGCGCGCTTGACAAAAATATAATTTAAACAAATAAACCCAAGTCAACTTGGATAGCATAAGAGGGCCTTACATCGCATACTGGCGTGCCTACGTTTTTCTTTCTTTTGATCCCTATAAAGGAACAGGTGCTGTCCTGACAGCGTACTTTTTTTTTTTTTTTTTTTTTTTTTTTCTAATCATCGCCAGTAGGCGTCAAGAGACTGCTACTTCCTCTATCCTCATGATGTAGTTCATCTTGCTGGTCACCATTGGCTAATGCCACTGCTGCCGACTCGGGGTTCAAAAGCGCACTTGTAGGGTCATATTCACTATTGTTTCCGTTTTCATTCTCACCGTTCGCATTGTTGTCAAATGTACCTTCTCCTACACTTTCGTTACCATCCGGTGTCGGCGTATTAGCGTTGGATGTGGATGGGGTCAAAGGGTGACTGGGATTGATGTTGTTAAATGATGGACGCATAGTGTTATTCTGATGATGATATTGGTATTGATCAAAATTGGATGCTGATGAAACCAGGCTGTTACCATTAATATCAATCTGTGAAGTGGGCATTGACATCATGCTAGCCATAGTATTATTAGGGCCACTTGCTGTCGTTGCTGTAGTAGTCGGAAGACCGCCGGATGAACTCAGGCTTTGATCGAATGCCTGGCTATAGGGAATTGTACCAAAGGGGTCTTGCTCGTAAACTCCTCCTCCTCGGCTTCGCCCTCCTCCTTGTTGGACTTGAAATACTGGTTGTTGTTGATGTTGTTGTTGCTGGCCAATTGGTTGATTACCTAGGAGTCGGTGTTGCAATGGTAATGGAATTTGGTTCTGCTGGCTCTGTTGCTCATGTTGTTGCCCTTGCTGTCCTTGCTGAGGCTGTTGCTGAGGCGCAAATGGCTGTTGACCTTGTTGGCCTTGCTGTTGTTGCATCTGAACTTGTTGCATCATGATCTGTTGCTGCTGTTCAGGAGTGTATTTGGAACTGGCCAAATGCATGTCTCCACCGACCGGGCCAACACCACCTTGGGCCTCGAAGGCGGCTTGTAGACGATCAAGATTGGCGATCTCTTGGGATGTAAGAAAACGACCACCTGGGCCTCTTGGTCGACGCATAGCATGTTTATGACGGGATTCATGTAGATATGGCTAAGTATGAACATTGAGTGAGGTACACGAGAAAATCGAATATTAAACCCTGGTTTGATGTTTGCAATAGCAATAAATAAAATACAATAAAATAAACTTATGATGATCCAATGCATTTGACAGCTTATTACTTTGCGTATTTTGGCCATACGGTTCATTTCCTCTAACTTTGCACGGGCTGCACGGCGCTTCAAGATGCGATGATATTGTTTAGCGTTCACATAGAGTGGTTCTTCCTCGGGCGCAGACGATTGAGCAGGTGGCAATGCTTGGTTAGTAGGAGGAGAAGGTCCACCATTGCCAGGATTGACAATGCCAGGAGTAGGATTGATCTGGCTTTGGCGTTCATGATACTGCGGACGATGGGAGTCATGATCCGAGCCAGTGGGGCTATGAGGGGCCATCATTCCTGAAGGCTTGATTGTGAGAAAAAAATTTAAATCGTGAATCGGATTTTGTTTGTCACTTACAACCATCAGAACATGTAGATAAAAGCATCGTACGGATTATATACATACCATGGATCCATAGGATTGCTGATGGAGCCCCCCTGTGTAATGAGCGCCGTCATGCTAAAGCACCGTGATAGCGAGTAAGGAAATATTCAGTCAAAGAGTTCAGTTAATTTGATTTGATTTGATTTTTATTTTTATTTTTTATTTCAAATCAGGTTCACTCACATGTGGGTGTTGTGAGAGATGGTATTGTTGTGAAGGATGGTTATAAACCATTCCCTGGCGAAATGATTGTTGCTGCATGTTGAGCAATAAGCTTTATTTTGTTTGGCTGATTGCTTGTTTGTGTGTTCTTTTGTGTAATGTATATGCGATGGAATGGTACAATAGAATCAAGAGGAGACAGGGTTGTGTTAGAGTAATGTAGTAACTTAAAGATGAGATCGAATGATAGGGCGAGAGAGGGAAGGGAGGACAAGCAAGAAGAGGATTGGATAGGTCGGGGCAAGCGGGGAAAAAAAGCAACAAAGGGTGGAAAAAGAGAAGAGAGTGAAAGAAAAGAAGGGAAAAAAAAGTTAAGCGAGTAAGAGAAAGAGGGCTTCGCTGGTTGGCTGTGATAAAGATCTGTTGTACACCGCAATTGAACAATGTTTGTCCTAGGACACGGGTTATATGAATGCGAACATGTATTAATGCACAAGTACAGCACAAGTATGTTTGTGTAAGTACTTTGTTTGTTAATCTACTACATGATCGCTATTAGTTGTTAGTTGTTAGTTGTTAGTTGTAAAGCAAAGGGAGAAATACACCGCCCTATAAGGTTCTATGGACACGGTTTCAATTCATTTCATAGTCATTTTTAATCACTGACTATTCTATGACTCGTATAAACAAAAACTATGTAATCGTTGTAATCATTGTAATCGTTGTAATCGTTGTAATCGTTGTAGTTGTCCCAAAAAAATAAAAAATAAAAAATAAAAAAAACCATAAAAATTAAAAATAAGGATATTGACTAAGCATTCTAACTGTGGGGTTAGTGATCTTAACCGAAATATATTTTATAATACAATTTATAGAAGTTAAAATCACTGCTGTGGAGCATGTTCACTTATTCTCAAGCTTACAGAAGTGGATGACGAATCTAATTTAGTTGGATTCTCTCAGCTTGCTTGGTTGGTATAGAGGTCAGTCGCTTCCCACTGAAACAGGCCACGGGATTTTTTTATAAAAAAAATTGTTCCAGAGCCAAAGATCGGTTTATGCAGCCTTCGGCTGTACCATGACATAAACTTTCTTGCACTGAACATCTTTTCTTTTTTGGCGGGAATTCATTCTTATCGCCATTATCATCGTCATTCGCACTTCACTTGCATTTGTTTTCCTCAAACAGTTAAAAAATGTCTCAAAAAAAATATAACGAGTTACTTTTTTTTTTTTTTTTTTTTACTTTATTAATACAATGGTGATGATAAGGTTGTTGCTAATGCTGATGTTGATACTGGTACTAAAGCTGTATGGATATCGATATCAGCTAAAATGCTCTGTTAAGAGAGATCAAGGCCATCTGAATCGATGATTGATTCATTATCCTCTGCAAGTATTTCCATCTGTTTAACCAAGGCTTCACGCGCCTGGTAGAAAGGGTCCATAGTTGTGGGAATTTTTAGTGGATTAGAAACAAATGGTTTCGTTGTAAATAATCCTCCTATCTCCGACGTCTCAACATCTTCGCTGTCATTCGCCGTTGATTCAGCTCTGCTCAACGTGTTCTCTGGTCCAGTCTCTGTTGATACAGATTCATTCATTGAAGTAGGACCAAGCATCTGATTTGAGGCAGATGATGACAATAAACCCGACAGTCCTTGTTGGTCGGATACGGTCTTTTGCCGATCGACTTTATAGAGCATCCTGCTAACCTTGACCACGTAATCATCCATGTCTTGCCTATTGAAGATACGCTTAAAGTATCGCCTCTTTGAATTTTTAGCAGATAAAGGCGGCAGTGCCACGGACTCTGCATCTTCCATAACAGACCCTGTTAATAACTCCTGTTGCTCTTGTTGCATTTGGCTCTTTCCTGCCTGTTTAGCAGCAGCTTTCTTGGCGGCATCAGCTACCGCTGAATACAATTCAATTTGACCAAGCCGCCTCGTGAGTTCCATTCGTTGCGAGTGGCAGCCCATCCTCATCACTTTGTTTTCTAACCCTGTCAGCATTGTTTGGAGAATGCGACAACCAGCTGGGCTGAGCGGCACAGGGAGATCAGATCCCTCGCCTGATCCTTGCTGGAAAAGTGACGATAGGAAAGTGTTAACCTGATAGTAATCTTCCAACTTCGGTTGCGTATCTGCACGCATGCGCTCAGGCTCATCAGAAGTATTAATAGTCTCAGCCACATTCGCGCTAGTTTCGCTCTCGCCTGGATTAACAGTCGATGGAGTGGATGAAATAGTAGTGTCTGGAGTATCGCCTCCATTCCTCTGGGATAAAGGTAGCAAAGTGGGTGGACGTGCTGTTGCTGCGGACGGAGGCTCTGTCTCGATTGGTTGTGGAGAGGATTCTGTGAAGGATTGCTCGTGTTGCTGAGACTCGTTTGTCAATCCAGTGGGCCTCATACTATAAGTTTGTAGTCCGTCCGGTACCTTAGGTTTCTCTTGAACAAGATTCTTTTGTCTAACTCGGTCCAGTAATCTCCTCGAAGCTAGCTCGAAGCCCTAAATTAAATAAAACATATTGGCCGAATTGCTTTCTTTAGACATTTGCATGTAAGTTATATGTTGCTCTCAAATAGATACATGAGGTTTGTATTACCCTATGATAATACATCTCCATTCGGAGGCTCGCTCTCTCAACATCTATGTTCTTGATCACTTTTGCCGCGTAGTCAAGCTTCTCTCGTGAAAAAATATCTTCTGCATGGATAGTTCCTTGTAAACCATACCAGTCTGCGCTCAATGGCGTCTGTGGATCTTGCCAAGATGTTGAAACTCGGTTCCTTGGTGGAGTGTATTTGTCATAAGGAAACGCATGTTGCAAATATGGGTATTGCATTGGAGGGGGGTCAAGCAACCAGTCTGGCCACACCCCTGATTTCAACTCATTATCCAGCGCTTCCTTTGCTTTAGGCAAGAGAGAACCCTTATTAATTTTGTTTCCAATAAAAGCTCTATCGATTTCTTGCTCTCCATCGTGCTTCCTTCTATTCTTGTCAACCTCTTCGTTGTCCTCATCGAACTCACTATAATCGCTGCTATCATAAACTTCTTCGTCGTCATCTTCATCTTCACCATAATTATCATTGTCATCGTCACTATCATCATCCTCATCAAGGCCTTCCCCTTCACCTGCCTTTCTACGAGAATCTTTCCGGATGGGTTTCAAAGAACTTTGGGCTTGTACACTCGTTGAACGAGTATTCTTTCGCAGGATTCTGCACCACCTGTGCGCTGTTGGAATTGTTCTAGTGTCTTCAAGTTTATGATCAACAACCACACACCCATCTTGCGAGACAGTAGGTTGTCGGCTTTTAAAGTATGATTCCCATCCCTTTGCACGCCGAGGTTTGTACTTGCCACGTTTGGACCGAGGCTTTCGCATAGGTTTAGGGTTCGTTCCCACGGATGTCGTTTGTGCCCTTTTATCTTTTTCTGTTGTCTCCCCTTGGTTCTGACCCCCATCTTCACTATCAGAATCACTATCACTAATGTCCGTGTGATAACTTAGTTCAGAATCCGAGCTTTCTAGTACATTGCTTTGGCGTTGCCGCTTTGTCGATGGCGAATAAGAGTTCGCAATGGCGGGTGGTGATTCCTTGCGACGTTTCCTAGCCTCTAGTACTTTTGAAGTTGGTCTGGTGGAATCAGTTACTGCTTTTTCGACCGTTCTTGCCGACATGACATCAGGGGGTAAAAAAGACAAATCGAGAAGGACAGAGGCAAGCATTCTTGAGCAAACATACTTGTGTGACTGCATTACGCTCAGACTTTTGGAAAAGGTCTGCAAAAGGCAAAAAGGGACCGATGACGGCAATTTTGTCTGTGGGCCATTTTATATTCTTTCTTTCTTTTCTGTTCATTGACATTTGTACACATTCCTTCATTACTGTACCAGGAACACACATACTTGCTCTTTTGCTTCCCTCCCCTTGCCCTTCTTTCCCCTTACGATGAGGATATATCTGATCCCGCTATCACGCAACGTCAAAGCATTACATTGTCACTCGACTATAGCACCGTCCTCCTCCTCGTATCTTAACCGTGCCACAACATGGGCAAGCAAGAAGTGGGAGAATCTTGGAAAATCAGAGCCGGGTAGCATGAAGATTAAGCTCTATGTCACTGGATCTCGAATGCTTGAGAGGATCGAGCATAAGGAAACATTTTTCAAAGAAATTCCAGCAAAAGAGGACGTAACCGCTACAACCATGGTATACAGATTATGTCATCGTCTTTGTTTTTTTTTAGAAGAGAGAATTATTTTTCACCTTTTTTTTTTTTTTTTTAATGGACCATATTTAGATCCCTTTCATGTATCCATCTAAGGTTTCAGAGAATCATGTGCGTGCTGAATTCAAGGATCTTATTGAGCAAAGGATACCGTACCACCGCAAATATATGATCTACTCGGCTTTATGCGTACCTGTTACATCTCTCTTCACTATCGTGCCTCTGATACCTAATATTCCATTTTTCTATAATGCGTTCCGACTCTGGAGTCATTGGAAAGGTACATGCAGCAATAATGTTAGAAATCGGCAGTCATCTTAAACTACTGCTTCATACGCAGCAGAGCCGCTAAAGTTTATTTATCTGAATCTTACTCTCAAGCATACAATGGTGCAAAGCATTTAGACTCGCTGATCAAGGCTGGAACAATAGAATTCCAACCGAGTGATATCCTTAATTTGGGACTGGCGCACGACCCCGAGTTTGCTGTCTTCTTCTGGGGATCAAATCAACTCTCAAGGAAAAGACATGCACGCCACAAGCCCACCCAACAAGATCCTAATGCACCAGTCATCGCCGAGTCTTCTGGAGAAGTAACCCCCACATTAAACAACTTCAAGGATTCATCCACAGTGACAGCGGGATTGACGGGAGCAGCCCAGGCGAAAGCACTGCACAACACGACGACAGCCAAGTCGGATGACCCCATGTCGGTCACGGATCATGTAGCCTTAGAGGGCTTTCTCACGGATGCAGAGGTCGCAGCCATCTGTGAGGCGTTTAAGGAGGCTCCCCAGATGTCACGGGAAATCAAGCGAGCCAGGTTCCAAGAGGCTGATAAGTTTGTGAAGGAAAAGTTATTGGATAAAAGTAGACAAGGGAAGAAGGAGGAATAGAGCTCACTCCAGCGTAAATGGATATATTACAGCACGACTTTCATAGAAATATAATAACAGCATAAGTTTACTATAGATCACACAAAATACAATAAAAAAAAGCGCAGATTGCATGCGCATTATTAAAATGGAGAATCAGCAGTTTCACATCCTGACTACAAATATATTTGTATAAAAAAGTAATAAAAGACTTTATTCTTCTTTCGTAGTTTTTCTTCAACATCTCGTCCATGCTTGCAATCTCTCGAAGTATTTTGACAGCCTTCTGCCGATGTGATTATTACTAGAGACAGTATTGGAGATCTCTTTGATAGCTTTTTGGAACGCCGTAGCCAGCTATTCTTGTATTTTCCTGAGGATGATAGATCCCTAATTATAACTGGATATTCCTTCCTCCAAAATTAGCTTCTACCTGGAGCAGAACAAGGTTCCTTTTTATATGATACAACATATCGCCCTCAAACCGCCTGATTACCATTGCTAGAGCATGGTTTTTCCATTACCCTCAGGAAGCCGAGTGGTCTGGCAACAATAAAAACAAGAGCGGGAGCTTTAACAATGGTATTGAAAATAACTAAACCTGCATAGTTTAATTAAGGCGGAACATGTATTATAGAAATGAACAAGAGAATACTCTGTTGCTATTCTCAAACTCGGCTTCCTCTCAGCTTAAAAAAGACAACTCTATTCAATGACATTCGACGAAGTCTTGGCATGTGCCTGACTATGGAAGCAATATGCTCTTCTAGGGCGGGTTCGAGTCGTAGCTTCGTTGAACAGCGCCATATCCACAATGTGCCATCCTCCTCTGTACCCTCAATGTCACCAATCACACGTTCCTGTACACTTTGAGACCCCAGATTCGATAGATAGAGTTCCTCTAGAGTTTCTAGACACGCCCACTGTCCTTTAAATAATAATATATCATTACAATCATCTGTTGATGATTGCTCCGTGTCTTCATAGAGCCCCAAGTGAATATTCCTTAATCCTTTCTGGCTTGACAAGACCATCTGAATTCCGATGAGCGCTTGTTGATATTCATACCTTTCTTGTTCCCGCTTTAATTCTAGTTGTAATTGGCGCTCTATTTCCCGCTCCAGTTCTAGTCTCTTGGGATCTTGACACGGATTACTGTCAACTCTTGCTGCTGCCGGTTTATAATATCTTCGTTGCATTCTCAATTCAAAGATTTCTAATGACTCAATCTGGTCCGCCAAAACCTGTCCACACAGTTCACCAAAGCTTGTGAGCCTTGCTCGAAAAGAGATGAGTGCCCTGCTCGCGTCCCTTCCGCCTCCTCTTCCACCTGTCAGGATAGTTTGGATGAAGTGAGCCACATCACCGTCCTCGACTGCATCCGAAACCCTTGTTTTCTCACTCTGATCCTTATAATGATTCACATCCAATTCCATTATCTGAAGCCTGGGACAACTAGGAATTATTGTTGCTGTCGTTTTATCCTCTTGTACACATAAAGGTATTCGGAAGTTAAAAATGTGTAACTCTTCAAGATTTGGACAACTTTCAATAATTGGCATGTATGATAGTCTAAGATCTCTTGCTGAAGTAATATACAAAATAAAAACCGTAGAGAGGTGAACAGATGGCGGTACTATTGGAAATGATGATAAAGGTAATAGTGATAGTCCTGATGGTGATTGAGATCGGTTAGGGTCCAGAGTCGTTGCTCCAAGACTTGAATTGACAGTAGTAGAAGTGGTAGGCTCGAGCTTGTAAGAAGGGGTATTGGTAGAGCGTGCATCGACGACATTATCCAACACAAGTGTCGACAAGTTTGAAAACTTGTTCAGAAAATGAACAAATGGAGCAGCTCCTGGAATAGACCAGTAAGACAAGGTGAGGTGTGAGATTAATGTCGGCATGTCTGAGAGTTGCATGGTCCGACGCCTTCCCCAGTTGCTGTGAGTTTTACTGTCTAGTTCCGGTTCGCTTTCCGAAAGATCTAACATGGCTGGGCTCGTCCGCTGGTATTCCGTTCCTTTCCAATGCAATTTTGATATTGTAAGCGGCTGGTGTGCATAGCGGATGAGGTTGTGAGTGAATACATTGCTGAAAGTAGTGCTAAGTTCATGCAGTGCTGTGCAATCAAAGGGTCCATGGTGTCTACAATCGATAATGATGCGAAAGAGATGACTATTCCGGGAGATGATATGGTTGGGTATCTTGATCATACAGTTGCCGTCGTAGATCTGCCATAAGACAGGCAACAGTCCAGCACGCCACGTTTTGGACACAGTGCTATGAGATAACAGTTGTTTTGGGTTGAACTCATAGTGGGTATTATTTCCAAAGATAGAGGACGAAGATGAGCAAGGGGACCAAAGTTCAACAAATTGTCCGACCAGAGCAATGATCTCGTGGATCTCGAGCGGATTCTGTGGATCAGAAGATGCAGGGGCAGGAGAAGTGGATGATGCCTGCTGAGGCATGGGAGAATAAGAAATAAAAAACAAAAATGACAAGGACCCTCATTCTAAGAAGCAAAGTGACTAGATAGACGGAAAATTGTCGCCTATTTTTTTATTTTTTATTTGACAAGGATTGACCTGTTTGAAGAGCCCGTTCCTTTCCTTTCTTTTTCTTCACCATTTTCTTCCACCAGCTCTTTATTTTTTAACACTTGGTTGTCCTCATTCCTCCTATTCGCTAACACACTTTTCTTTTTTTTCGGCGAGGGTCCTGAGCTTCTGCATCGATTAATCTCTATTTATTGTGTTCCACCTTGTGGAGAGCATGTTGGATAGTCGGTCGAGGATCAACTTTATTCTGATTATGGTAAGAGGGCTTACACTGGCGTCGATGCCATTGCCTCCACTTCATAATCGCCCAATAGGATTTAGTAGGATGAATACTATGATCACGTGGGCACGGCTGTTAGTGTGGTAATGTTGATGACAATGCTCATCGGGTCGACAGTACTGACGAGAAAATACTCTTTGATAGCCATCTTCACCTACTCCACTTTACTTTTCCTTTCCTTCTCCAAACCCATATCTGTTAGCCCTTGGTCCGCAGTAAGAAGCTCATTGTACAACATGAGACCAAGTTGGCCTTTAGCAAAGAAATAATAGCTCTATTCGATGCAGTGATTCTAAATCGAAGATAGTGTCATTTAACCCGCGGATTCTACATCATATACACCGAAACCTTATTGGCCTCCTCCCCATTGATCATTTGTGATATCGTGGTGCATGAATCCAATTCATTCAAAACTGTATCCAAACGAATCGCATGTTCCAGTGGCAAGAACATCATGAAATATGCTTCCAAGGTTTATTCAAATAACGAAAGCTTCAGGCGTAGCCAGTAAACGATTGTGTTTTGAGTCCAAATGTTCAGCAGTTAAGAGTAGGATCATGTCAAAAACACCTTTGAAACCAACAGTTCTCATCAAAATCCCTACCATGACATTAATTCTGGATCTCGGTCCCCATAATGGCTCCAACCTCAATCAATCCCCTCATGTCTCTACTTTCACAAATGAGCACTGTATTCAACATAGTGGTACAAGCAACCATTGCTCATCTTACAAACGAAAAAACTTTGTCAACAAGGGGCACAGACCATCTCTGTAAAGAGGACAATACATGACTGCATTTCGAATTTGTTCCCAATGTTCATCCAAAAAAAAAATTGTCCCCACAGGTTCAAAATGAAAAAGGGAAAAGGAAAACGAGCCACAAGACCCTGACAAATGCATAAAAGAACTTGCTTTCCTCTCTTTCCTGAATCCCTATACGTAGCGCAAATGGGGCTGCCTAGTAGTGCGCACCTAGTACTCGGCCCTTACGCGCTACGTATCTACTATTCAAATTATTTCCTAAATCTAAAAAAAAAAGAGATAACAGTGTTAAAGCTCATAGGATGATGATCTTTCAAGATGAGTTGTTCTAGAGTTCGTCAGGCTCCAGGTGGGGAGCACAAGCACCGGACTACATCTACATGGTATGCACAAAGAATAACCACAGCAAAGATGGTCAATAAGGTATTTTTTTTAAAGTTTATTTGGAAAAACAGGCGCAGACATGATATTAAAGCAACAGGAGGAAAAAATGGGTTGTGCACGTTATTAGACAAAGGTAAGGAAAAGATTTTAAAAAAAAAAGCAAATCTACACTCCTTACAAATACAGCATAACAAAATAGACCAAAAACAGAGATTATGAATGGCATCGACCTCTTCTCTCATCATCAATTTAAGTACTAATACCTTCAAAGAACAAAAAAAAAAAAAAAAAAAAAAAAAGGGGAGAGGGAGGGCTTAATGTGGGTGCTGCAGATGATGTGATTGTTTCACCATAGTAGAATGCTGGCGCTCGTGCTGTATAGGCTCGTAGTGATGTTGTACGTGCGAATGTGAATGCTGTTGTGGATTTTGGTAATGACGATGCTGTTGCTGTTGCTGTTGCTGTTGGGTATAAATTGGTGGTGGTGGGCCGTGCACGTCATACCCACGGTCTCCATGTTGCATAACCTTTTGTTGCCGTATCTGCTCCATCTCCCAACGCTGCCTCTCTGCCTCCACATGTCTATCCATCTCTGGGTGCTGTTGCCTTGGTTGTGGGAACTGTGATTGTGACTGCGGCTGCGGCTGTGCAAAGTGGCTACCATATGGATCAGACTCGATTTCAGAACGCTTCATACGATTAGGCGAATTCATATGATGTTGTTGCTGCTGTTGCTGTTGATGTTGTTGAGACCGTCCAGAGTATCTATAGTTTGGGCTCAGATGTGGCGCTTGATGCTGTCCATTGTTGACTGGTGGTGGCCCTTGCGACGAATATGATCCACGTTGATAATGCATTGATTCGTATGGCTGATTAGAGGCTGATGTTGAAGGTGGAGGACCAGACCTATAACCGCCATTACTCTGCGGTCCGTACCCCGTTGAGTAGTGTTGGTGCTGGGGTGATCGTTGCTGCGGGTTGGATTTCAAAGAGGAATGAGGAGCATGAGGGCTACCGTTTGAGGAATATGTATGGGGCGGCGTCATTGTCGAGGGAGACACCGCTGCACTACCATTCGCTGTGGATGGTGTAGGGTAATACTCTCCAGGCCCCGCCGACCGTGGCACTTTCTTGTTGGTAGCTTGCTCAGAATATGGGTGATTCTCGGACCGGCTATGCTGATGACGATGATGTAGCGGATGCGTATCCTGATCTGGCTGCTGCTGCCGATACTGCTGTTGACGCTGCGATTCGATGTGCCGTTGTTCATCTATATACTGCTGCTGTTGGTATTGTTGCTGCGTGCTCACCATGGGACGTGGTTTCATCTCCTGCAGTTCCATCATCGGTTTTGGATTCGATGCCCGTAACTGAGGACTACCACTTGCCGCAAAGGACCTTGATGATCCAGGTTGCGTCATCGATACGGGACCATTTTGAGAACGTCCATTTGGAGATGGGTATGGTTGGCTTCGGTGCTGTTGGCTTACTACCGACGAGCGGTCCACAAGAGGCTGTGCATGGGGACGCGGGGTACTCATGCCATTGAGATGTGGCGATCCTGGAAGTGAGGATAGTGGGTGGGGTGGCTGTGACCGTGCGACTTCAACTTTTACTGGTGTCAACGGCGAAGAAATAGGAGAGGGAGGCTGCAGTCGGTTTTGCGGGCTAGTATTTGATTGTAGTTCTTCCTTGGGTGGAGTGATAGTCATTTTGATTTCCTCGTTTTGTGAATTGGTTGATAGGTCATCATTTTGAACGAGGGTTGGAGCTGGGTCTGTCTCCATGGGTTCTGGATCTTTTTTTATATCCAAATCTGAGTCGTCTCCTGAAACCGCTGGTAAATTGTCAAGTCGGTTCTCAATGTCTTTAAAAATTTTCCCTTGCAGATGATGGAGCAATACGGACAGTTTACTTGTACTTTGCTCTAAAAGGATCCCAGATAATAGACGGATCAGTCTATTGGTACGATTTTAATATTGTGGATATGGGGACTTGATTGATAAGACAATATCCATACCTGAACGGATCAGATTGCCATTTCTGCTGTTGGGCTTTTGCGTTCTCTCCCAGACCGGATGGTCATCTGTCAAAAATACAAATGAATTTTCAACATACCAAGAGCCCAGCTTCTTGGTCACCATCGGTAGGCTGTCATCGCCGGGCACCATGGTTACACAACTTACATATTTGATAATCTCCTTCTGTCGTTCATTCATGAAAGCCACCATACCATAACAGCCGAATCCAGCAGCCAGTAATATTATCCTTCTGCCCGTATAGCCTGTAGCAGAGACGTAGCTATCCCAGATCTCTGAAAGAATGGATGATAGTTTGTCTTTCAACGCCACTTTCTCTTCATCAGAGGTTGGTTGGTATGGTAAGACGACATCGATAAGCTCATTTCCTGAATCGATTATCCGTCTCACATAGTCAGTTACAGGATCTACCAGGAGAGACTTGTCTGTTCGAACGATATTATTATGTGCCAGCGTCTTTGCAGAAAACTCGCCGCTGAAGGAAGGGAGTTTATAATGGTGCCATGCGATGATTAATTTTGCAAGTCTAGAAGAGTCGTCAAGAACACAAAAGAACACTATGCAGACTGATATCATGACTTACAAATCATGGACGAATATATACAGAGGCTTCGCGTTATATGTGCGCCGCCTAGTATCACAAGGTAATAGATTAGCAGTAAAGAATGTTTCCGTTAGAATTCAGATATTTGAATTGGTAGCAAATAAAATGCCGTTAAGGGCCAAAACGTACGTGCAATAAACGTTGTCTAGGAATGCATTCTCCTGGTCGCCTTCGATCCTTGGCATTGGAATCATATCGTGTCGCTCCCTAAGACAGCGTTTCCTGTATATATCGAGAATCTTGTTCATTCCAACTATGGATCTAACTCCCGCAGAATCTAAAGTGTAATAAACATGGCATTTATATATAGTTGTATGTATTTCTTTGGGTTATTCTAAAGACTCCTGACTTCACTTTGCACCTGGCTTCCTTAATATTAGGTGTCTTGTGTTGTCAAGGATATACGATATTTAAGGTACCTTCAATAGGGTCAATAAAAGTCTGAGGAAGGCTCTTCCAATATCGGGACTGGACTTCTATAACATCTTGAATTGTCTGAACGCACATTGCATTTGGGATGATTGGATCTAGAGGCTCAATTGGGTCATTTAATAAGGCTTTCGCACATGCTAATCCTGATACAGCAATGGAGTCCAAATTGTATCCGCCTTCTAGCGCCAAAATAATTTTGCCTCCCGCTAATGACTTGAGCATGTGCGTCATGTGTCCATATGCTGGTGGTGTCACTAGCATTTGACCAATATGATCGCCTAGAAAACGCAGCACCAGATTAGTCAGGCGACGACAGAAAAATAAAAATAAGGGCTGAAGATGAATATCGATCTCAAAAGGTTTGAAAGTACATCCTCAACTCACCTTTGGC